AAAGTTGGCAAACTCAAATTTACAGGACCCTTTGGATCCTATAGGAGGCCCTTGCCAACCCTTTCTAATATTTGTACTTTTCACTCTAGTATTAAACTGTCTTTATCAACTATTGGTATGTCTCATCAGTGATTAAAACACTAAGTAAACATTAATCAAAAGTGCTTAAAGCGAATAAAATATTCTTAAATTTTTATTTAAAACGTATTACATAGCTGATTACTATGTAATGCATGAATCTAAGTTGTTGCAAATAACCTTACTTTACTCAGAAATTAGCATTTTATAATCTTAACATAATTTTAACGTTGTGCTGTATAAAACAGTGAAAGATTTAACAAGATGTTTATCTGGCGTCGCAAACACTGATCATAATTCCAGATGATGAGCGAATACCTCTACTAATGACAACGTTTCTGGGTAATATTCTACTATATATAGATATAACAAATGGTAAAATAAAAAATTTTGTACAACCGACTTCAATATAAATAAAATGAGAACATCATCAATGTAGTCGAAGTTAATTTAATATGCATTACTAAGGATAACTACTCAAAAACTACTGGTCCAATCAATCATTCTCATTTATATCAAGCCACATGAGAAGCGCCAGCTTTCAAATAAAAAAAATCATCAAAATCACCTTGAAAAAAGTTCTGAAGTAACACACATTACAAAAAAAAACAATCAAATTGAGAACCTTCTCCTTTTTCAGTTTGAAAAGAAACTAATGCTCTCATTGCTAGATAACGGCCTAAAAAATCGTGCTAATTAGTACGTACATATTCGTATCGTCAGTTAAGAGGCACGAAATGTGTAAACTACAATAATATAAGTATTTCTAAGCATCAATGCATAAACCGTAACGTAAAAAATGTATTTTATACCCGTTGTAGCAATATGTTCTAATCATATGTGGTCGAAGGGTTATTAGCGTGACTGCTGACATGAAGTCGCAGGTTCGAACCCGCAGATCACTTTGGGTTTTCTCAGTATCCCCCCGTAGTCAGGAAGTTGTCGGTGTTTCATCCCGCGCTTCGAAAAACACGTAAAACCGTTGGAATAGAGAGCGCAACTGTACACACTGGCACTACAATTCCGTCCTACGCAGATGGCGAGTCTCCATTGAGGCTGGCCGCCGTGACTGGAATTCAGTCTGGAGAATACTATTATTACAATATGTTTGTGTCATACTTTCTAGGGGTGACTTTGACTTTATACAAACTTCAGCCTAATGTCAAAAATATGTACGAAATTAAAAAAAATTACTAAAAGATTTCGCAGAAAACAATGCTCAACGTGTCACCGCCAGGAAGTATTCTTTCTAGCGGGCGCTATATATTTCACTAATATTAAAAAAAAAAAAACAGAAAGAATACTTCCTGGCGGTGACACGTTGATCATTGTTTAGTGTGAAGTCTTTTAGTAATTTTTTTTTAATTTAGCGTACAATTTCGTACATATTTTAGACATTAGGCTGAAGTTTGTATAAAGTCAAGTCACCGCTAGAATATATGACACCTATGTTTAGTTATGGTGCTTTAGAAATACGTTTGGCGCTGCTACTACATAGTAATTAGGTCCATAGGTTAAATAAATAAAAATAAATAAATCATACAAAATATTATTTATTGCACAGGGATAATTAAAATACTTAAACAAAATAACAATAAGAAGTAATAAATCCAATATTCTTTATTATGACACGGTATGCTCCTTGCTGAGCTGTGTTGCAGTTTGTGACCACAAGTTTGATGCATCCAGCCATCGCAGCAAACAAGCGCGCATTTTGTTCGTTTAGAAGCGCACATTTCGTACGTGCATTTGAGCTATGTACGCTTTACAAGTATCGCTTACATTTTACAAATAAATTCGTAAACTATAACAGTATAGCGCCTTTAATATATTTACAAATAAATTACATATTCTACTTATAGAAAATTAATAGAATTGATTTACGCTATTTCCATGCAATCTGTGATTATAATATAACAGATAAAAGAAAGTAATAGGTACATTATTTATAATTTCAAACACATTAAAGTATGATAACAAAAAATTAAATTTTCCGTCGAAATGACGGAATTAATTCAAGTGACATTTTACTTTGGTATTTTGAAATGATTAAGTTTTGCAGATGGCACTATTAACACCTTTATGCGGGCGAATGCCGTAAAAGAAATACAAACAAGACTAACAAATACATTTATATTTATAACATTAAAATAATTAATGCACCCTTGAGTAGCACTATAGTGAGCGTGCACGATTCAAAATGGCGTATTAGGTAAAAAATAAATAAATAAAAAATCTTTATAAGTAGATATTTGCAACTGGGTCGAATAATAAAAATTATAAATACGTAATTTAAAGCTGTATCATTCAAAAATAAAGAGGGAAAGTGTATCATTATCAACACAATTCCAAAATGGATTTCAAATAAATTTGCAGCGATGCATGATTGTAATGTAAGGAAACGCACACGCGCACCGATAATTAGAGATGGGCCGAACATGGATTTCACCGAATACGAATATTCGGCCGAAATATCGGTAAAACTTTTACCGAATCGAATATTCGGCAGAGTCACTTCGGTACCTAAGCAATTAAAGTCGAAACTTGTAACCGTAAAGCGCGTAGAATTAGCGCTGGACCCTGCCACTCGCTCCCCGCCACACCTGACATGTTATTAAATCATCTAGTACTGATCAAATTGCCGGCACATGCTTATGTCTTGACTATTTATGTGAGAAAAAAAAGTATTTCGTTGTGTTATTCTTCGTGAAAATTGATAATTATACGATAAAAATGAGTGGCAGGAGTACTACTATATTTTAAAGAAACTGACGACACATAACGCTATACAAGTAGATTTAATCCATTAATAAAATATATTTTTATCAGTCAAATTATGAAAGACATGGCATTACTCAATTCGTACATTTCAATATTATGGACACTTTGAGTACCACTTTAACAAATGTTCCTTAATTTAGCCGAATATTAGGCCGATTACGAATATTCGTAATACGAATATTCGGTAAAGCTGTCAAATATGCTGAATACAGAATATGAAACGAATATTCCGCCCATCTCTACCGATAATATCAATTAGTATGTATTACATGAAAATATTCTAATATTTAACTATAGTATCTCACTAGCATCGAGCGCTCAGCTCGTTCAGACTATAAAATTATAAATTTATTACAATAGCACATAACGCGTGACGGCGTCGACGTGCACTGAAGCCAACGAAAACATCGATCAGTGCTTCAAATAACAATTATCACTAGCAATAAATTATAATAATATTACATTACATTAATTACAAAATTCTAAATACATAACATAAGAACTAACGGTAAGCAGCTCCAGGTAATATCGAGCCTCGTGTTGAATTATGTGAGCAGCAACATATAAACCCCTCCCGCGGGTATTTAATATTTTCATTATAATTATGGCGACGATTGTTTAATTATAATCTATTTCTAATAAATAAATAAATGCTTCATATATGTATAAATGTATGAATCCAATTTTATTGTAAAGAAAAAGTCCTCATGTATAATCATGAGCGGGACTTGCTGGTCACACGCACACACGAGCTGCGTTATTTATAACTAAAAGTAACATATAGCAGCGAGTAAATATAGCACATGACATTAATTACAATAAATTCAAACAAAACATCACATCAGTCTATTACAAGTACAAGGCGACTCTCCGCACTCGTACAGCTGTTCCAAAAATAAAACTTGGCGCCACTTGTGCAAGTGGAGTTTCACCGACACCTGAATGTGGTCACTGCTACTGGTCCCTCTGCTACAATACGGAATGTTTACGCTGAATTTGATGCTTCTAGCGAGATAATGTGAAATGTTTGACCAGAACATGGTAAAATATCTTTATAGTACTAATTATTAAGACGTTTAACATAAGTGCAAATGTGTAATATTAGATTTAGCAAAAGTAGATATTTGGTAATATTATCAAGCTTCTCTTCTTTTATGTAATACTAAAAAAATGTATTGCAAACATCCAAAATGTATTTTACAAATTAACTATGCCAATAATAATAAATCAGAAATAATTAGGAAATCTGTATAGTTATTTATGAAAACAACATTTTATTCTATATAAAAGTATATAACTTACGAAGTCAAATGTTGAAAAATTGAGTATATTGGATAAGCATCACAGTATTTATTTATTATTATTAAAATTTGATTTCCATTCTTAGCGATGAATGTAATGTGGCTATTTTAATGGGACGCTTGATTTTTAAAGTATAATCAAACTACCCACATGTTTATAATATAATATACTCCTTGTAAATATCATAATTGAAGTATTCAAATTATATACCTATGCTTAAATATCTGGAATAGAACAGTATATATATAAAATATTGGCAGTACTGCTTATTTTCATCACGATTTTATTTTAATTTATATAATTTTATTAGCATTAAGTTTCGAAACAGAATAGAGAATTCATTCTAATATGTCTTATGAAAGTACATAAATAAAATATTAAAAAATTCTTGCATATACAATTAGGCGATATTAAGAGACTATTTTAAATTATTTATTATAAAATTTATATTATCTTAAAACTGGAGAGGTTAATTATTAAATTAATATACCTATACATTTAGTACTGAAGTTAAGTGTTTTCTTCTATTTAAGTTTAATAATTGTTGTGTTTTTCGGTTAAGTTCTATTTCACTCATCGACTTAGAAAACAAATACATGACCCTATATAGTTGTGATTCTATATAGTTTAAAGAGTAGTTTACAATCTATAATATAAGAATTGTAAGGAAAGTGAAATTTTACCAGACCAGAGGTATGGAAGAGGAATGTAGAGAGAACGTGGTGGTGTAATTTGTACAGGTGTCTAAACTGCACCAACGGATCAGGCGTCGCGCAGGCGGGTGACATCGGAGGAGGAGAGGGTACGTGGCATGTAATGTGTAGGAGGCGGCTCAAGGCTCAAGTCAGCACACACATATTGCGTAGGTCAGCGTCCTCGGGCGGCAGGTCTACGCGCACGGGCGAGCGCTCGGCCACGTCGGGCATGTAGCGCTCGTAGCGCAGGCCGCGCCGCTCGTAGAACAGCAGGTAGGCGGCGGCCGGGTCCACGGCGTGCGGGTCCACCTCGCGGCACGAGCTGTCGTTGTAGCACAGCCACGCGCCCGACGGGTTGTGCGCGTGCGCCACGTAGTGCCCGCCGTGCAGCTGCCCGGAGTGAGACTGTTGGAAGCAATGCATCCATTTATAATCCAAAACATCACAAGCAGAACACCACATATTTATGTCAGCAACGCTTACAAATGTATAAAATGTATGCAGAGCATTTTTAAGCCCAAATTGCTAATTACTGTGGCCACTATTCAAATTAGGGTAGCAAAAGCGTTTTCAAATTGCTCGCAAGTCGGGTTATTATTGCGAAACCCATGACTGCGAATTGCGCTGAAAATTTTTTCCAAGGGATCTTGGTTTAGGTGCCGCATCCAAACAGACGTAATATTGTGCTCCTCCTTAAGTTTTCTTATCAATAATTGAATGGCTTGCAGTGTCCACACCCAATTATTGAGACTAGGGACAGATGCGTCTACTTTCCCAGCAGAATTTATGAATTTCATTGTTTTGAAAACTTTGACACCTTCTATCCACTTTTTATGGTACTCAGACCCCAAGATCGGTATTAGGTAAAGTCACCCCAAGGTGACTGGACCTAATAACGGCTTCTCATGGTAGATAGATTACGAGGGTGGATTGAAAAGTACTCGGCCTAACACATATCCATTCAATTCTAAAAATCAAATTTACCCACATTATTTAGTTCAGTTCAGACTAGTTCATTGTGTGAAGTTCGAAACGTGTGCGATAATTAGTTGTGATTTTATAAATTTATTAACAAAGTAATCGGACATAATTTCCGCGAATGGAGCAAATCGAGCAGCGTGCCGTCATTAAGTACCTCCATAAGAAGGTGCTATCATCAAAAGCCATCCATGATGACATGGTCAGTACATTAGGCAATTGTGCTCTGTCATATTCATCCGTCAAAAAATGGATAGCAGAATTTAAGCGTGGTAGAGAGAGTGTGAAAGATAAAACCCGCTCTGGAAGGCCTTCGACGTCAACTACTGACGAAAATATTAAAAAAAGTACTTGATTTAATAAAGGGAGACCGCAGATTAAAAATTAGAGAGATAACCGAGATTATAGGCATCTCTTATAAACGAACTCAAAACATCATTGTCAACGAGTTGGGTTTCCACAAGGTGTCTGCGAGGTGGGTTCCGCGACTGCTTTCAGTTGAATAAAAAAAGGACGCGATTGACTATTTTACGCGACTGTTTGGAGTTATTTGAAGCCGATGCAGATGATTTTTTGAATCGTTTTGTTACTATGGACGAAACATGGGTTCATTACTGTACACCGGAAACAAAACAACAATCAAAACAGTGGAGAAGACCTGGTTCACCACCCCCTAAAAAGGCTAAGTCGATTTTGTCGGCAAATAAGGTGATGGCTTCAGTATTCTGGGACTCGAAAGGTGTGATTATGATTGATTATCTTGAAAGGGGTCAGACTATAAACTCTGATTACTACTGCACCTTACTACGTCGTTTACTAGAGGAAATAAAAGAAAAACGTCGAGGAATGCTCAGAAGAAAAGTCCTGTTTCATCAAGATAACGCCCGTGTTCACACGTCAGTACAGTCAATGGCTGAAATTCACAACTGTGGCTTTGAACTGTTACCGCATCCGCCGTATTCACCTGATCTGGCACCATCTGACTTCTTTCTGTTCCCTAACCTAAAAAGCACTTGGGAGGTCAAATATTTTCGACAAACGACGAGGTCAAAGCAGCTGTAGACGCATGTTTTGACTCTAAGGAAGAATCATTTTTTTTTCAACGGTCTAAATGCTTGGAAGGGGAGGTGGCAAAAGTGTATTGAACTTGATGGTGATTATGTAGAAAAATAAAAATATAACTGATTTAGTATGTGTTTATTTTCTTGGTTAGGTCGACTACTTTTCAATCCACCCTCGTACATACATAAATAGAAGACTACATTAATGACAGCGATGTAAAGAAATGTCTGAAATGTCTGTAGAGTAATTGTACGCCCAAACGTCAGAAATAAAAACTACCACCTCAAGAAATTTCTGAAATATCTGCAGGACGATTTTAAGTTCAAATGTCATTGATAAAATTCCCGTTTCAGTGAAAGTTACGATAATAATATTTCTGTAAAACCCAAAAGCGTGTTGAATATTTATGTTGACGTTATTAATTTTTGGAACGCACACACATACATATATTTGGGCACATTAACATATATATGGGACACAATATGGGTATATATATATATATATATATAATATACTGGCTCTGCGCGTGTCCGGAGTCCTACATCATATCCATACTTATTTAAGTATAACAGCTATATTTATGTGTAATGTGTAATAGTTACAGGTGTGGCGGCTGCGTCCGTTACGTTTAAAAATGAGTCGCAAATATATCCCCGTTTACACGACATGTGTCTTCATTTATTGCGACCTCAATTGTAAACCTTAGTGGACTTAACAATAAATAAATTAATTAATTAAATACAGTATTCATAAGACAGTACAATATACATAGTGGTATAAACTTGTTTGTACGACCCCACTGCTCTACATGTTTTTCGTCATCATCGAGTACGCGATAAATAACAATTTCAGTGATGTCCCCGAGAAGGCAAACACCAGTTGGTTTGAATACTACACATTTAAAAGACTTGCCTTTTTATTTTCTACGATATGCCAGTCAATGTAATACGTAAATGCATTTTTTTTTTGCGTTGCCAATGATTTCTCGTGTCAGCTCAGTAGCTAACGTATACGTATACGTAACGTAACGTATAGCTGCGAGTCAATTTTTTGTTAAAAGTTATGTAAAAAATATAAAAATCTTACCACAACTGCGTATAATTTGTACTTTAAATCAAATGGATCTTGATCCTTCTCTAGATAATGTTGATGGTAGTCTATCAGATTATCATCAGTGACAGGTGAAGCCATTAGACTTGTCGATTCCAGTCTCGTTCTCCTTGTAACTTCTACAGACTCTTTTCTTTTCTTCTCAGTTTTAGTTATAGGCCTAGAGTTTTCTTTGGGACTGCTGTCTTGAGTTTCATCTTCGTCATCAGACTCCTCACTTTCACTTTCCGATATGCGGTCGTCTACATCGACGAACATTGAGGAGTGCCGTCGCATATTCTTTAGCTCTCTATGCCTGAGTATAGTTTCCTGTGGCACGGACGCCAAATACGGCGTCGGATCGAAATCTTCGAAGGGGAAATTAACAACTTTCTGCGACTTTATCCATTTGTTGTTCACGTATTGGAATCGTTTTAAGTGGATAATCTGAAAATGAACACGTATTACGAATTTTAGATTGGATAGTGACGTTGCCAGATACGTTTATTTGCAAAACGTTTAGTTTTCCTTACGGGTAAAACTTGTTTCATTTTATGTCGTCGTATGAAGTCAAAACGTTTGTGAAATAATTTAAACGATGCATGAAGATAGATAGAGGAAATGAATTATTAAATAAGTTGAAAAATCTAAAGTCGAATAAAAATAGTTTGGAACTACGTATATAACTAATAACATAGAAATATAACTTAACTACGTATAATATTTTTATGTTCTTTACACCGAATGATACATATTATTTGTTATACATTACCCATTATTACTATATATTTATAATGTTATATAGGGTTAAATATAATATTTAACTTGATTCATACTAATGGGATTAAATATAGTATTTAATTATGTATAAACCTATTTGTAAAACAAGAGTAAAGTAAGGAGAAATAGAGACAAGTTTTCCGATGGCTACTCAAATGCGGACTAACTCTTAATATCCAAATAAATAGACAATGAATATACAAGTGGTGAATGCAGTGTAGTTACCAGATTTTCTATTTTTATTTAAATTGCATTTAAAGTATTTCAAAATAGAAAATAAATCATTAACATTTTAAAGTAAACATTTTAAAAACTATAACGTAATTATGCTATGTTTTCATGCAATTTAAATAGAAATGTTTGTTTTTAAAACTTCAAAGTAATTCTGTTAAATCATCGAGGTGCGTGTAGAGTCAGATATGTGCGTGTGTGGGTTAGATATGTGCGTGTGTGTGCGAGGTGTGTACATGTGTGCGACGTGTGTACATGTGTGAGAGGTGTGTTCACGTGTGTGGGGGTGTGTGGTGTTACTTGTGGGGGTGTGTACATTTGATGTGGGTGTGTGTGTGTGCGTGTGTCGGAGATGCGTTGCACGTGTGTGTGTGGGAGGTGTATACATGTGTGAGCGGCATGTGTGCATATGTGAGAGGTGTGTGTGGGAGGATTGTACATGTGTGAGAGGTGTGTGTGGGAGGTTTGTACATGTGTGAGAGGTGTGTGTGGGAGGTTTGTACATGTGTAAGAGGTGTGTGTGCGAGTGTGTAGGAGGTGTGTACATGTGTGTCACTGTATGTACGCACGAGCACGGGCGGCGCGCGCCAGATCTGCAGCTTCTTGGTGGCGGGCTGCGCACTGCGGCAGGCGTCGCAGTGGTAGCGCTGCTCCAGCCGCTCCTGCGACGTGAAGGCGGCCAGGCAGCTGCGCAGGTCCACAGCCCTTGCCGCCGCGCGCCCCACGGCCGCCACTGACGGGTGCTCGTGGCACGCCTGCGTCATCACACCGCGCCATAGAACATACCACTCACATACTGATACTTCTCGGAACAAACCACCTATCTTCCTTCAATGCTCAGCAAAGCGTAGATGTAGTAGCCATCATCAGGTGGAATATGAGCTTTTTGTCAATTATAACGTACCTTTATAATAATTACTATTTTAAGAAAAACATACGATTAAAAAGGCTGTACGGTCTAAGACCTTTGCCTATTTTAAAAAGGGTCTCCGGTTTTCTACACTCACTATATAAATAATATAAAACACAGCCTCATTTAACTACTATTTTACGCTGGTATTCTGTGAGTGTAGTCCTTTCCTAGTGAAAGTGCCATCTTAAAGTCATTTTATCAAACAAAAATTAATTGATCCTCGTGGCGGTAGAGCCACGCTGCAGCTATATTATAATAGTTGTAGCATGAATGGGTCAGCTGAACGGGGGCAGGGCTCACAGAATACCGGTGTAAAATAGCAGCGTAATGCTGCTTGTTTTGTGTGGTGAGTGTAGAGAACCGGAGACCCTTTTTACTGAAATCGAGGCATTCCATCTTAGTCTTCAGAGGTGACAACTTATCCGCTTTTTGATGTTTAATCGAGGATAAATATAAATGTCTATGGGATACAGCATCCACTTACCATCAGGTGGACTGTGTGCTCGTTTGTCACCCTTATTGTATAAAAAAAGGTACGTACGTACGTAATATACGCTACAGACGCTAGATGGCCTAAAAATTAATATGAATCGGTAGGTGAGTTAAGAAAGCGTAAATTGTTATAATGGATTAGATATGATAAATTTATTCAATGTTGTAACTTTTATTTATTTATTAAATTTCTTAATTTTTAATTATTTATTTTAAGAGTTACAAGTTATATTAACCATCTTTAAAGCACTGCACAAAGAGGAACCTGAGATAATAGGAAATACTGTGTTCTATCTCACTCTCTCGCAGGCCTACAGATGTAAAAGTTTGTTATGTATCACTTTTTCGTTTCACTAAGTCAAATTACGATTCTAAAGAAGTTTTCAGTTAAAAAAATGCAATATCTGGATTTTAGTTTCGTATCTAAAGTGTGCGACTTACCCGCTCCCGTGAAGCTTGGTAGCGCAGATGCAGCGCCGTGGGCTCCCAGTCTATGGCCAGCATGAGGCCGCGCCGGCGAGCGGCTCGTAAAGCGTTCATGTCCAAATACGACACCTCACCCGGAGCACACTCGCCCTATTAGTATAAACTATAAGCTTTTAATGTTTTCACACAAGTTACACCAGTTAATCGGCTCCAAAAAGTTATTAATTCCTTCATGGCGCAATATATACGCTCTAACAACGAAGTCCCAGAAAATATGCAGGCCTTATCTATCAAAAAGTTTAAACAACACGTAACATAATTAACGCACTTTGAGAAAGTAGTTTGTCCAGAATCGTTTACTGAATCGATTTCTATCATTTTTAATATAGGTAATTTTTTATCCTAAAAATAATTAAAACTACGTAAATTACAGTCACACTAAATCTGTACAGTCAAAACAAACTGAAATGGACCGTAACTTAAGGCAATAAGACTTTTAAGAGTGCAGTTTTATTTGTATTATAACTAATTCTGTCATTCAGTAAAAATAAAGAAAAATGAACTTTATTTCAAGCATGTTAGTCTTTGCGTTTGTGGATTTGTACTGTGACCACAATATTCTTCCGGAATTAGTATAACTAAAAATTCAGTGTATGTATTATGATTATATATACGTTACATATTGTATATATATCTATACTGAAGGACTAAAGGTAATATTCTTTAAAAACCTCAATACATGTATTCTTTTGATTTATTACATTAAAATTGAGGCTAAAACATTGTAACAATTACCTATTTCCTACCTAGGTATCTCATATTTCTCGTATCTCATATCTCATATTTTAAGCTGCCGTTCAAAATGATATTTTTAACTCATATACAGCGTGTTAGTGTAAACACCGTTGTCCTTGAAACCAGTGGTTTGGTTTCACTTATAGAAAGTAAATTCAATGAAAAATAACATTTTCTTTAGTAAAATCTCAATTTTTCCTTAATTCCTCAATTTTTGCCTTTCCTAAGCCAGGATGAGTATGAACGAAAAATTACATCACAGGTTATGTGTACCTATTGTGTTTTTATGTTGCATGTTGTGTAGGTAGCTAGCGCGGGCGAAGATCTTTACAGTGATTACGTCACTCGGGCGCATATCCATGAATTTAGGACGGTGTCGGACAGACACTTTTTAAATTTTATGAAACAAAATAGCGTTTTTTTAAACTCATTGAATTTACATTCTATAAGTGAAACCAAACTACTGGTTTCAATGATAGCGGTGATTAAACTAACAACTTGTATATAAAGTATTGAATTATTAAACCTTTTAATACGCATAGCTTAATTAAACTTTAATACTAAAGAGTCCTCTACCTATTAAGGTATAAAGAAATGTTTATCGAATTAAAATTTCATTTTTTAAAGATTTTATCTTTTCCTCGCCGATTAGCACTTTAACACACTCCAATTCATCACAAGGAACACTATTGTCTTCACACTTCCACTAAAAATCTTTGAAAAAGCATAAATTTTCAACAGACACAACAAAAACAAACATAAAAATTGAAATGTGAAGTGAACTCATTCGCTAACGCACCCCTAAACAACTTCAGAGCAAAGCCTAGCTTTTGGTTCCATAGTAATTGCTATATAAACATTTCGTAGTTATATTTCATTAGAGAACATTTTGCCACAGGTTAGAAAGGGAGCGATCGTCTTCTCGAAAGCCCGGTAAAAAACCAACGCGAGAGAGACGACAAAATCAACTCCTTGCTTTCAATAATTTTGACAGTCCAACGTGGTAGAGCCATGCTGCAGTTATATTAGTAGTATAGTTGTAGCACGAATGGGTCGGCTCGACCGGGGAAGGACCACACTCCCACAGAATACCAGCGTGAAATAGTAACTTAATGCTGCTGTATTTCATATGGTGAGTGTAGAGAACCGGAGACCCTTTTTACTGGAAACGAGGTATTCCATCTTAGTCCTAATGGGTGACAACGCATCTGCATTTTGTTGTAATTAAGGAAACATGTAGATGTCTATGAGCCGCAGCACCCACCTACCATTAGGTGGACTGTGTGCTCGTTTGTCACTCTACCCTATAAAAAATAAAATAAAAAAATAATTCGAATTGAAAGCAAACTGCCAAGTGTTGACTTTACATTATATGCTACGAGATCATCATGACCTGTCTAGAAAAGAGGAGCGCGCGGGAAATTTGAAATAGTTAGAAACAGTTAAAGAGTTATTTTATTAGTTGATATTATTGATTGAGCAGATTGAAAAAGGCAATAAGTTTTTTAAAATTATTCCAGCAATTTGAGTTATTATTAATATATATTTTTTAAACTAAACCCAAATGACTACAAAATTTTACGCCTGAATTTTTGAGGCCTATCAGCAAAGATTAACGTCATATGCTTTGCAAAGCTTGTATATGACCTCTGTAACCTGTTTATGGTGGAGTGGTAACCTAAATTAGTTTTGCTGCCCTTAACTGAAAAGGGGGCGTATCGGCTGACACGCGCTCGCTTTAATGACACATTGAAATTTATTAAACTTAGTAGATATGGACAGTCTACCGTTCCGTTGACGATTTTGTATAGCAACATGAAAGCGTTTAGCGTTCAGGATATCCAAAAACTGCAACTACTGACGATAGTATCGCTAAATTTCACCAAATGGTGCTAGACGATCGTCGAGTTAAAGTAAGAGAGATAGCAGAGGCTATGTAAATGTCAACTAAGAACGTGTGTGTCACATATTAGATCAAGATTTAGGCATGAACAAGCTGTCAGCGCGTTGGGTGCCGGGTTTCCTCACGTTAGACCAAAACGTGTACGAATGAACATTTCCAAAACACAGTCGGCGTATTTTGTGCGCAATAAATCCGAAACAAAAATACAGTCAAAACAGTGGACTGCAAAGGGGGAACCCACTGGGAGCGACTGCTTTTTGGGATAGTCATGGATTTAGATTATCTTCAAAAAGGAAAACCATTACAGCGGCAGACTACGCATCATTACTTTACAAACTGAAGGCAGAAATTGCGGGAGAACGGCCACATTTGCAGAAAAAGTGTTCTTTATCGGTCGCATGTTTTATCGTATGACGTAGTCGTTTGCGACTTAAAAGGGGAGCGGCTGCGTCAGCGAGCTGTATAAATGGCAGCTGCTACAGCTCACTACTCACTTAGTGATCAGCCACCGCATTCTATTTGAAACAGAAACAGAAACTTTTGATGTGTAACACCTTTCGTCAATTTTGTGAAAAGGGACGGTGTAACAGGAAGCCGACGAAGCGCGCACTCTTACACTATTTGATTTAAACAATGAGCGCACGCGGTGGTAGTAGTGTCCTGATAAACTAACTTATATGTGTTTACCATAATATATTTACTGTTCATAATAATCGTCTGAAAAAAAAATGCTAATCATTGATAAAAATCTCGGCAGTCGTGAAGGTTCGGACCTGTCCATCCTTTGGCTACGCGTAGACAGCAACGACCATCCGCGCGTCTACGGGTGCCTCTATTTACAGATTCGTTGCTACAACAGATCCCACCCGCAGAGATCGTGATCCTCGCCGATTTTAACGCCTACCACGCCGAATGGCTTGGTTCACGTTCAACTGATCATGCAGGGAGATCTGTTCATAATTTTACCTTGGCATATTATGGTCTAACACAACTGGTTAGTTCGCCTACGCAGATTCCAGATGTGAAGCATCATGCACCTTCCCTGTTGGACCTTCTGCTGACCTCTCATCCGGACGGATATCAGATTTCCGTCGACGTCTCGGCGAGTCCAAAGGGGAGGCATTGGCCGTTAGTTTGGACATTGCGAAGGCCTTCGATCGGGTTTGGCACAAAGTGCGTCTTTCGAAGCTTCTTTCCTATGGGCCTCCCGAGAAATTGTGCAATTGGATCACCAGCTTTCTATGAGCATCAAAGTCGTTGTACGTCTACAACGACCTTGATGCTCCGCCTGCAACTTGCACCGTGGTGCAAGTTCCGATTACAAGCCTATTAATGCTGGTGTTCCACCAGGCTGCGTGTTATCACCAACGCCGTTTCTTCTGCATATCAATGATATGCTGCAAATCGGCAACATTCATTGCTATGCAGATGATAGCAAAGGTGATGCTCTGTACACCGGTCGTGCCAATATTTCTCGGGAAAACGTCTCCGAGTACCGGGACAAACTTGTGTCAGAAGTCGAGTCTTTGCTGAACAAAGTCTCGGATTGGGGGCGATTAAATCTAGTCCAGTTTAACCTTCAGAAGATATAACTTTGCGCGTTAACCGCCAAAAGGAGCCCTTTTGTCGTATCTTCTTAGTTTCAAGGCACTCCCCTTGTTGCCTCAGCCAGTGAGTAACATATGAGTTAGTGAACATATCGAGTGACGTGAAGTTTCGTGGTCACTTGAAAGAGAAGGCCAAATTGGCCTCTAAAAAGCTTGGCGTGCTCAGCAGACCAGGACAGTATTTCATGCCGGCGACCGCCTACAACTTTACCGCCGCACATGGAATATTGTTCCCATCTCTGGGCTGGGGCTCCCCAGTGCCAGCTCCATCCACTTGACCGCATTCAGCGCAGAGCGACTCGAATCGTCGACGACGACCGAGCTCGAATCACTGGCGCTGCGTAATCTATCACAGGGAGTGCTCTGAGGAATTGTTTCCAGCCGCCAAATTTCATGAACGCACTACGCGGCAAACCTCCCGAAACCATCCACACCATCTGGGTGCTTGGCGGTCCACCACTGTACGTTTCACAAGGAGTTTTCTTCCGCGTACGACCTCTCTGTGGAATAGTTTACCATCGGCGATTTTTCCGGACCGATACGATGGGGACCTTCAAGAAAAGAGCCTATTCCTTTCTAAAGGGTCGGCAACGCACCTGCAATTCCCCTGGTGTTGCGGTTGTTTATGGGTGGCGGTAGTCACTTAACATCAGGTGAACCGAATGCTCGTTTGCCCCCCCCTTCCATATAAAAAATTCAAGTGAGTAATAATTAATAATTATTCGAATAAATATTTCAGTATTTAGTTTTTATAAATTACGAGGTTTATTTCTGTAGCTGATAAATCAATATTTTAAACTATGATTTAAAAAAAAAACTAATACCTAGCTTTTTCAGTGAGTTGTGAGATAATTTGTTACACATCATATGCGACTACTGTAAGGCTCGCTCATTTGTTATTCAATATAAATCATAAATAATACTTATTGAAAGTTACTCTTTTGTTTAATTTACCACTAGTTCGGAAATACAGCTCTGTCCTGGGAAGAACGAGCAAGAAACTTAGCGGGACTCTTTCTGAAATAAAATAAAATCAGCTCACAATTGTATATTACACAATTAACAACACAAAACAGATTAAAATTGCATGGTAGCATTTCACTTGATGCCTCGTTTAGAGGCGAAACACGTGTCATATTATCGACGGTGGTATGACTTTCCTAGTGTAGTGGTGTTGGGATTAGTGATGACGGAGATAGTGCACGTAATTAAGTGAAGGCGGGAGGTGCCCCTCAAGGTAGATAAGACAAATCATTTTATTTTATGACATTGGATGAAATGGGATGATAGGTTACAGCACGGGTGATGTAAATGTATTGTGGATGATAATAATCCCTAGGAATGAGGTGATCGTTACCATGCTATTTCTGATTTTGTTTGTTGTTTTATGTTTTTAATAATTGTGTAAATTTAAATTGCAAACAGTTCATTTTTTTTAAAAGTCCCGCTGGATTTCTTGCTGGTTCTTCCCAGAACAGATGTATCTTCCTAAACAGTGGTAAATTAAATATAAGAGTGACTTTCAATAAGTATTATTTATAATCTATATGGAATAAAAAAGTTTCTATTCGTATTTGTATAAAAGCTGGCGTCTGTACACACCCCGATGTCAGCAGAGAGGCGCGCGCTGTGATGGCGGTGCCGGGCGCCTCCACCCTCGGCGTCAATGTGTAGGACGGGCTCCGAGTCTGCTGTAAAAACAGATTGCCACTTTCAGCTTGCTACTTGTGCCACATCATGAAAACTATTTCGAAAATGAATATTTTCACCCACAAACATTGTAGTATTTCGAGTTCTGACGAGTTTTGCCGACAGTGTTACAGAATTTACTACTTTTTTGTCTCTTTTTCTGTCTAGGAGTCCCTTTGGGTAGGTAGTACTGTCTTAGCTTTTACTGACGCCAAATAGCAGTGCTTATACTGCTGTATTTTGGTTTAAAAGGCATGAAGGGCTGGTGTAGTTACAAATTGTGAGTCGTTTCAACTTAGCCCTTCGGACCTCTAAGAACGCATTCGAGGTGTTCATGGGCTGCAGAAGCTACTTACAATGAGATGGAATGTAAGATCATGTGTCGCGTGTCATTTTAGTTTAATACATTCATACATAAAAAGTTTTGACTGTGGTGAGAAGTATATGCAAAGTGTGCAATGCATGCCATATGCGGCAGTGTGTGACGGTGTACATTAGTGTACAGTGGTGTACAATAGTATGCAGTGGTGTACATTAGTGTACAGTGGAGTACAATAGTATGCAGTGGTGTACATTAGTGTACAGTGGTGTACAATAGTATGCAGTGGTGTACATTAGTGTACAGTGGTGTACAATAGTATGTAGTGGTGTACATTAGTGTACAGTGGTGTACAATAGTATGCAGTGGTGTACATTAGTGTACAGTGGTGTACAATAGTATGCAGTGGTGTACATTAGTGTACAGTGGTGTACAATAGTATGCAGTGGTGTACATTAGTGTACAGTGGTGTACAATAGTATGCAGTGGTGTACATTAGTGTACAGTGGTGTACAATAGTATGCAGTGGTGTACATTAGTGTACAGTGGTGTACAATAGTATGCAGTGGTGTACATTAGTGTACAGTGGTGTACAGGTCATAGTATGCAGTGGTGTACATTAGTGTACAGTGGTGTACAATAGTATGCAGTGGTGTACATTAGAATACAGTGGTATACCGACCATGCGCAGGCGCCAGCAGCGGGCGGCCGTCGCTGGGCAGCGCGCAGCCGCGGCACAGCGCCGGCCAGGCGCACAGCGCGCACCACGCGCCGTCGCCGCTCACCGCGCGCAGCGTGAACGGGACCTCGTAGCCCAGGCTGTCGTCGCTGCACACACACCACGGCGCCGGTTAGTGAGGGGTGTGGGGTGTGATGGAACACTAAGTGATGTCTCAACTCAACTGACTAACTCCAGTTAATGCAGTTTAGTCGAGTTAGCTAGAGTTACTAATTCGAGTTAACTCGAGACAATACAAAAGCAATATCTCGAGTTATTATTTACCGCGGCAAGAAATTACGAACGTGTACCTACCAATCAAAGACAAATTGACAGCTAATCAAACTGTTCAAGTGCAGTGAGTGATAATTTACATAGTAAAATATGAAGATAGGTGGATTACGTATGGAGGCCCTACCTATGACCGGCAAACTTGCCGAACCTTTCACCGTTAGACTTTTATCTATGGGGTGAAATAAAAAGTCATGTACGTCGTCAAAGAGGCTCGAAGTCAGAAGACCGCCACAGAAAACTTATTGCTGCATTCACGGAAATTAAAAGTGCTCAAGCACAGTTAATAGGTGTAAAAAGTAATGCTGCAATCAGGAAGTAAAAAGTGCTATGCATGAAAATCCAAGAGCTTTCGAAGATTTGACTATAATAATTCCTAAGTGAGCGTCAAACATCAACTTAGAATTATGAAGAACACAAAGATATCTAGCAATTGAATCCCTTTTAAGATTTTCACTTTTTAGTTTATAGTTGAGGTCTACCGGTTTATATCTGCGCAATAGGACATATAACTACATTTAGAGGGGTTCAAATCTAAATAGTTAAGGTTGCAATAACGCTCTTGATTTGACAGACATTATTGTAAAGCCTCAGCATCATCAATCGATGTTATTTTCAAAAAGGACTTCATATCGTTGGCAAAACATTATAAGCAACTTTCCTTAGGTAATGGTTAATGTAATTGATAAAAGTAACAAATAATAACAATCCTAGCCTGAGTCCTGTGGTACCCCACTTAGAACAGTTACCCATCCCGATATAAGATGTGAACCACCTAAGCAGATCGCCGTTTATTACCAGTCTTGGACAGTTTCAGTAATAGCAAATTATGTTGTATTCTGTCAAAGGTTTTACTATAATCGATATAAACGACATCTACCTGGTGGAGATTGTCCACTGCTTCAGTCAAATGCATTAAAAAGCGCAAGTTTCCTTAAACAGTAGAGCGTCCTCTTAAAACACATGTTTGTCGGATTGAATGAATGTTTCAACACTTGACACTATGCATAACTTGGAAATCGGCCGATAATTAGTAACTTCGGTCTTGGAACGGAATTAATGCGCCTTTCAGATAGAATAAACAACGCCTGTACTAAATAGACTTTTTAAACAAAATTGTCGGTGATACGGTAAAAACAGTCACCCGAATTCAAAAAAGTAGAACGAAAGTAGTTTGAAAAAGCATTACAGATAAGGTCACCAGAGTTCATTACAGAACCTTCAAATTTTAGACAACTAGGTATTGAATGTTATTTATTTTGATTTTTGTTTAACATAAGGTCAGAAGTGTTTAGGATTTGTACTAATCGAATTTTCCACAGAGGTTTTGTAAGATTGGTAAGTTAACTTTTCTAATTTTCTTACACGCTCACCCAATATGTTCTTTCGTCAAGCCTACTGCCATACATCATATATTTACGCAAATTTTTTATGTTTTTCTTTAATAGCTTTTTAGGTGGCGCTGTATACCAGGATAAATGTCAGCAACAATTAATTTTGAAGGGATATAATTATGTGTAGGTGACGTGAATATTGTAAAAATATTGCACAGATTCATCTAGCGATAACGAAGACGTAGCTTAACCCCATTGAATATTGGCAATTTCACCACTTATTGAATCACCTTTATGATATAAAAACTTAAGAAGAGAAGCTCTACAATGACTCACAATCAACGGCATCATCATCATTACCCTTTGTAATAGATGTTAGGGCTCACTTTCGTTTGTAAGAGTTAGTGCTCACAGAAAGACGTGTTTACTACGTGATGATTTATTTGCAACTGGTTTTTACAAATTATGCCTTTAAATATTCACACTTACGCTCACTCTTACACTCGCATAGATCATTATATCCGAACACCCTTCCCAAGTCCACTGCTGAACATAGGAATTTTGGATTGAACATTCCCCCGATGAATGCCATAAAGCACGGTCCTGAGCCACCTGCAACCATCGACTTCCTGCATGTCTCCGCAAGTCATCACTTCATCTAGTAGGGGGACGCCCTACACTTCGCCTGCCGGTATGAGGCTGCCACTCGAGAACCTTTTTTCCCCATCTGTTATCAGTTATTCGAGTTATGTGGCCGGCCCATTGCCACTTCGGTTTAATAATCCGTTGAGCTATGTCGGTTACTCTGGTTCTACTGCGGATATCCTCATTCCTAAGTTTATCACGCAGAGAAAATCCGAGCATAGCCCTCTTCATAGCTGCGCGACTTTCAGCTCCCTTATACGGCCAGCAGTGAAGGCCCACGTCTCAGATCCATAGGTCATCACTGCAACACTGGTTGTACAATCTAGTTTTAAGATTTTGAGGTATGCCTGACGAGAATATGTGCTGCAATCTCCCGAACGCTGCCCAGCCGAGTTAAGTTAAGTTAAGAGTTGAATTCGTCTTATTGACCTCTCGGTTGAAGTTGGACTTACCTAATCGGACTACTTGCCCCAGGTAACGTACTCGTCGACAACTTCGAGCTTAGTGCTCCCAACAACAACCGGCATAGGTGGACATTACACATGACTTTCCTTTGTCCATATTCATTTTAAGAACTATGCGTTGGGACACACTATTGAGGTCATTGAGCATAGTGCTTAGGCGATTCTGCCATAAGGACTATATCGCCGGCAAATCGAAGGTGAGTGATGTACTCGCCATTGATATTAATACCATATCTTTTCCAATCCAGTAGCTTGAAAGACTCAATGCGGCGTTGAAGAGTTTCGGGGATATTACGTCACCCTGTCTTACACTTCTCTGCAGTTGGATAGGTTTCATACTCTGGTTCTGTACTCAGATAGCCATCGTAGCACAAACACTTCCGCACTTCTATATACCGACACCGTTGAAGGGACGCAAGACAAAGTGGTATAACCCTGTATATAGCTTCACCTGTGTCACGATTTTCCCTTTTTTAACAGACAACGGTTGTAACAGTTGTCGAAATAAGGAGGAAACCTTTTTATCATTTACTTTTAATTTATTGTTCTGACAATCTGGTCCCTTGAGCCGCATTGTTAAAAAAAATAAAAAAGTTTTGGTTACCAGTCCGCAGCGTGGTTGGGCAGGTCAGTGGGCAGCGGTCGCGGGGGCAGCAGACGCGCAAGCTGTGCCCACACGCGCGCGTGCAGCTCCAGCAGTATACAGTGTGCGGTGTGCGCTGGGCTCACTCACCAGTTCACGGCGTGGTTCGGCAGGTTGGTGCGCGGCAGTCGCGGGGACAGCAGGCGCGCGAATTGCGCCCATACGCGCGCGTGCAGCTTTAGCAGTATATATAGTGTGCGGTGTGCCCTGGGCTCACTCACCAGTCCGCGGCGTGGTTAGACAGGTCGGTGGGCGGCAGGCGCGGAGACAGCAGGCGCGCGAGCTGCGCCCACACGCGCGCGTGCAGCTTCAGCATTATATATAGTATGCGGTGTGCGCCTGGGCTCACTCACCAATCCGCGGCGTGGTTGGGCAGGTCGGTGGGCGGCGGGCGCGGAGACAGCAGGCGCGCGAGCTGCGCCCACATGCGCGCGTGCAGCTTCAGCAGTATATATAGTGTGCGGTGTGCGCTGGGCTCACTCACCAGTCCGCGGCGTGGTTGGGCAGGTCGGTGGGTGGCGGGCGCGGGGACAGCAGGCGCGCGAGCTGCGCCCACACATGCGCGTGTAGCACCAGCAGTATATATAGTGTGCGGTGTGCCCTGGGCTCACTCACCAGTCCGCGGCGTGGTTGGGCAGGTCGGTGGGTGGCGGGCGCGGGGACAGCAGGCGCGCGAGCTGCGCCCACACGCGCGCGTACAGCTGACGGCCGGGCTCGCCCGCACGCAGCGCCACCAGCAGCGGCACACCGAACAGCGCCGGCCGCACGCGCTGCCACGCCAGGAAGTACGCGTCCGCGCGGCACTGCTTCCTGCGCACACCCACACACCACATCACGACCTCAACAACACCAAGTGTCGAAAACTCGTAAACGGACAGACAAATCATTGTATATAAAATATATTACATACAAAATAAATATTCTATACAAAACCCGCCACGTGCCACGTCCGCCATTTTGTTTCGGTTAATAAAGAACCACGCTAAATACAGTCCGCTTTAGTTATTCTCGCGGAATCGAACCCGGAACCTCGTGACCCAACCATTTTATAGTTTCTTCGCTCCGGATACGAAGAGCAACCCAGTTGCCCCAAAGGTGAAGTAACCTATGTACTTGTAGGTGATATTCGATGTATTAGAAAGTAAGCCAGTATTAAATAAACACTCGAGTTGAACAAACGTGTTGATCTTTCATCCCATTATAAATACTATAATTCATGGCGACCCATGCCAAGCGCGCGTGTCCGGGTGCAGGCTAAAAGTGCGGATTTGCACATTCCTGTGTACCCCGGCAGTGAATGCAACTACGTAATAATAATGAATAAGAATATAATTATTAACTTTGTGACTATGTATGCGCGTGTTCATGCCAAAAAACAAAATGGGGAATAGTAATTCGAGAAATGAAGAACATGAAACGACGATTGCCCAAACTGGAGGAACCAATACTGTGGAAATAGAAGAAAAGGATTATCATATAAAGATTAACAATATATTGATCACATTTTTAATTTTGGTATCAATCGTCCTGGTTGTTATCATATTTTTGAAGCTGAAAGAAAAATATAAGAAACAGGTAGAAAAGAAAATTAATGCGGAATTTTTAAGAAGAATGCGCACTAGACTGTCTAACAGACGTTAACCGCGTAATGAAGAAGATGTATAAATTTATGTTATGTACATAAACCCTGGACATAAGTGAGCGATCCTTGACTTCTCCGAGTGCCCCTACACCGTATATCCAGATGACGACGCCTGTTTTTGGACTCTGCGCGTGAGCAGACAAGCAGCGTGAAACCCTGATGTGTTTTATATTAGTGCAGTTCCTAAAAAGTGCATTTCCGTTTAGTTTTTACGATAGTGAGTCAAACCCTTTTTTTACGTGACAATTATAGTGACATTGGTAATTTTATAAACTTCTTTACGAAAATTATGTTAAATTTAGGTAGCATGTTTCATTTTGTTTCTCTATAACATTTAAAATAGTTGTTGTCATGTGTTAATTCTAAGAATTCCGACCGCTGCGATCGGTCGAGATGCAATTCAGCAATTGTAATCGGTACACTGTATGTGAAACTGTGCTTCGTTTTAGAATAAAATTAAAATCAATTGAATGAAATATGAACCGAGTGCGAGTTAACTTTAGTTTCTATGTGAAATTAATGGTATTATGGCTGAGAAAATAATAAAAGATTATGAGCAATTGTCAGAAATAAGGAAATATTTGATCAAAAAAGGACAAAGTAAGTATACAGGTTCTATTGCGTTAAGTAAGTTGAACGAAGCCGAGATATATTTAAATAATAGTAAAGATATATTTTCTACATTAAGTAATATTAAGGATAAGTCGGAAATGTCTTTAATTACTGAAACATATGACAAAATTTGTTCTTTATTTGCAGAAATAGCGAAATTGTGTGTTTCACCCAGTTTAGAGATGAAGTCAGAAAAGATGGATTTTGATTTGAAAATTGCTTGTAGCTTGATACCTCTTTTAGATGATAGGGAATATACTACGAAACGATTGGGTGGAAATGTATGCAGACATGCTTAGTAGTGAAGGCCAGCAACTTTTAATTAAATTTGTTCTCAAGGGCAGGCTATCAGAAAATGCTAAGTTGCGCGTATCCAATTCTTATACTTCAGTAGACTTGATGATTCAAGATTTTCGTAATAACTTATTGACAAAAAAATCTTTCACTGCAATACATAATCAAATACAGTCTCTGAATCAGTGCTATAGGACTATTGAACAATACGGATCTCAACTTGAAAAACTATTAACCGATTTGAATATTTCACAGGTGACTGACGTCACTAAAAGTACAGTTGTGAAACCAATTAATGAAAAAATGGTGATTAAAAAATTTACGGATGTACTTAAAAATGAAAAGTTAAGCATGATTATAGCTGCTAGAAATTACACATCGCTAAAAGAAGCCATTCAAGCGGCCAAGGATGAATCCACTCCATAGTCATCTACTCAGGCAGAGTAAGAAGCCTAAAGAAGAGTAATGAAAATTTCATCTTTTCATAGAGGTCGAGGTAGATACAATAATCGTTCTTTTAGATTCCAAACCAGAGGTCGAGGGTTCCAGACAAATTACCACAACAATTACAACAACAGAGGTACTAACTTCCAAAAGTAATAATAACAATTTTAATAGATATCAAGGTAATAGATTCCAGTATACGCCGCGAGGTAGAGGACAAAACATGTTCTATAACAACAGAAGGGGATACAAAAACAAGAAAGGTAATTTTAACAATAGAATATTAGCGTTGCAAAATGATAGGCCAGTACGAACTGCTGATAACGTAGAACTCCCAGCTGATGACAGAGAGAGTAACCAGTTTTTTCGGACTTAATAACTTAGTTTTTGCTTGTAGAGGTAACACTAAATTCGTAAATTTTTATGTTAAGAATAGGAAGATTATACTACCGGTAGATACCGATGCATCTATTTCGGTAATTAAGGAAGAACAAATTCCTAAGTCGAGTGAAATATTTTACAATAATTTAATAAATGGAATCGGAGGAAAAATCGAAGCTTCGAGTTATGTTGTTTTAGACATTTACAGTTCTAAATGATAAATTTACGAGCAAGTTTTATAGTTTCAAGAATTTACCTATCGCCGTTGATGGAATATTAGGATTAGATTTTATGACTAGATATAGGGCTAAAATAGATTTAGAAAATAGTTTACTGACGCTGCAAATTGATGGTAAGCATTGTATTTTACCGATTTTCGATAAACCTGATTATAGCAACTCGTTAGTACTCGCACCTCGAAGTGAGTCTATACATTATGTGTATTTGAATAAGAAAGTGGAAGAGGATTGTTTTGTGTGCGCGAGAGAGATAAAAAGGATGTGTTTTTGGCAGGAACTATTGTTCAACCGAAAAATAAACGCGTTCCAATTAATTTTAAATATTAGAGATGAGGAAATAAGATTAAACAATTTTACTTTAGATGTGGAATCTTTGAGAGAGTATAACATTTTTAAATTTGGTCAATGTAAAAGTAGCTCCAATAGGGCTAAATCTTAGTTACCTTTATTATAACTTAATCATTTAAACAATGAAGAGAAAGAATCTATTGAAACCATTTGTTTTAAATATTCTGATATTTTCTTCTTACCAGGTGACAAATTAGAAACTACTAATATTTGCGAACATACCATTACATTAAAAAATAAAACTAATCCAATATATACAAAACAATATAGATTACCACATGCATTAAAAACCGAAGTAAATAAACAAATAACAAAGATGCTCCATGACGACATTATCGAAAAATCAAGTCCTATACTATTAGTACCTAAAAAGTCTGAAAGCTCACAAAAATGGCGTTTAGTAATCGATTCCCGTAAATTAAATGAAAACATTGTAGACGATAAATTCCCGTTACCCAACATAACATACATCTTAGACTCACTATCTGGTTCAATTTACTTTACTCATCTAGATTCACAACAATGATACTACCAAGTAAAATTAGCAAAAGTAAAAGCAAAAGCAGAAAATACACGACTTTTTCAACTAGTACAGGACATTACCAATTAAAACGTTTACCGATGGGTCTTAAAACTTCCTGTAGTGCTTTCAGTAGGGTCATGTCAATAGCAATGTCAGGACTAGCGTTTGAGAAGTGTTTCATTTATTTAGATGTTCTTATTACGTTTGCAAGGTCTTTAGCCACTCATAACCGAAATTTGATAGACGTTTTTGAAAGATTGAGGAAGGTAAATTTAAAACTAAATCCCGCTAAGTGTCAATTTCTAAAGAAGAAAATTTTATATCTTGGTCATGTAGTAACCGCTGGTGGTATAGCACCTGACCCAGAAAAAACTAAAGTTCTAGGTAAGTTTCCAGTTCCTCAGAATGCCGATGAAGTAAGATGCTTTGTTGCTTTTTGCAATTACTATAGAAAATTTGTACCTTCATTTGCTACCATAACAATGCCTTTAAATTATTTACTAAAAAGGGATGTACCTTTCATTTGGAATTCAGATTGCCAAAATGCATTTAATTTCTTAAAAAACGCTTTAATTTCTCCACCAATATTAGAATACCCAGACTTTGGTGAATCTAATGAATTTGTATTGCAAACAGACGCTTCAGACTTGGCTGTAGGAGCTGTGCTGTGTAATAAAAATAGAAAACCTATAGCTTATGCTAGTAGACCATTAAATAAAGCTGAAAAGAACTATCCCGTAATAGAAAAAGAATTAACAGCAATAGTGTGGGCAGTTAAATATTTTAGACCCTATCTATTTGGCAGAACTTTTACTATCATGACCGACCACAAACCTTTGATTTATTTATTTGGAATGAAGGATCCATCTAGTAGATTAATTAAATATCGTTTAATTCTTGAAGAGTACGATTTTAAGATTGTGTATGTGAAGGGTAAGGATAATGTAATCGCAGATGCATTATCCAGAGTGTGTATAACATCAAGTGAACTGAAATGTATGAATGAGGAGGTTTTGGCAGTTGTAAAGACACAACAAAAGAAAAAGATGGAGCAGAATAGTATGGTAGAACAGACTGCGCTTGATAAGTACCCTCATGAGTAGCCTGATACACCACGCGTCGTGGAACTATTAAGACAGCCATGTGATTCCGTAGAATTGAGGTTGACTGACAGGGAAGTAATAGGAAAATTTAAGAAAGGAAATAATAAAGTGATAGAAGAAGAACGTTTTATGTATGTACCAAATAAAATGTTATTGTGTGTTAATTTAGGTTTTAAGTTGCATTTCTCGCGAGCCGAATTTGCAATTAAACTTAAAGAGTTTTGCAAAAAAATAAAAGTAAAAGAATTATGCATAGTAAAAGATGAAAAGAATACTGAGTTTATAAAAACAATATGTAGTGAAGTAAAATTGTTGAGTAAATGGTCCGGACCCCGAATATGTGTACTGAAAGGAATAGAGAGAATTTATGATGAAAAAGAGAAACAATTTATTTTAAATGACTAGTGGACATACTGAAATAACTAGGATGACGAATAATATTAGGAGAAAATACTATTGGCCAGGACTAGATTCGGATATCCGTAAATATATAAGTAAATGCGCATTATGTCAGAAAATGAAACAAGGTAAATATACCAAATAACCTATGACTTTAACCTCCACTGCGTCGACTACGTTCGAGAAAGTTTTCCTCGATTTAGTTGGACCATTGGATAAGGATGAGAATGGAAATTGTTATATTTTAACTCTCCAATGCGAGTTAACAAAATATATAGAGGCGTATCCATTGCCTAATAAAGAAGCTGTTACAGTTGCAGAAGCTTTTGTAAGTAACTTTATTTTAAGATTCGGTATTCCGAAATGTATAGCTACAGATAGGGGGACAGAATTCATGTCTCGGGTTATGGAACAGGTATGTAAGTTATTAGAAATCGATAAGTTATCGTCAACTGCATACCACCACCAATCAATCGGTTCTCTTGAGATAGCTCATAAACATTTAGGTGCGTTTCTAAGAACTTATTGTACTAATTCGAATTTTTCATGGTCCCATTGGGTTCCATTTTGGTGTTTTAGTTATAATAATTGTGTGAACACTCAAACTAGGTACACTCCTTTTGAACTTGTTTTTGGTAGACAATGTCGTTTGCCAAATAATTTGAATCATGATGTTGAACCACTTTATAATCCTGATAATTATTGTTTAGATTTAAAATATAAATTGCAGGTAGCCTTAAGAGATGCTAGAAATAATTTGATAACTTGTAAGGAAAAAAGGAAAGATAAATATGATGAATCATGTAATCCTGTATTTTATAATAAGAATCATCTTGTTATACTTAAAAATGAATGTGCTCGTAAATTAGATTGTGTTTTTGATGGACCTTATAAAGTTGTAGAAGATTTAGGAGTAAATGTGAAAATTGATATAAATGGTAAAATTGACATTGTTCATAAGAATAGGACTAAGCAATTTAGTAGTTAAGAATATTCTTTTTTTTCTTTTTTTTTTCTTTGCCCCCAAAGGTGAAGTAACCTATGTACTTGTAGGTGATATTCGATGTATTAGAGAGTAAGCAGTATTAAATAAACACTCGAGTTGAGCAAACGTGTTGATCTTTCATCCCATTATAAATACCATAATTCAGCCCCACCATTTGTGACCATCCGATTCGAACCCAGGAATAGCATCACCACCATGTAAGGACGGGACTAAGTAAATAACAAAGATGTTTGCGGTTCGCAGATTTATTTAATACTGAACTCCATTAATATAATTTATCTGCTTATACGAATATATTACTAATCGCTACACCGCAATGATTGGAGCACGAATGGTTGGTACGGACGAGGAAGCACCAGCTCAATGCTGCTGTGTTACGTATGTTAAATGAAGAAAACTATCCTGTTTCATCATATTCATCTTAGTCCTCAGGGGTACATCTACATTTTATTCTCATGAGAACCGGAGATTCTTTTCTCTTATGTCTACGAAAAGAAGTCTTTTCTCTTTTAGACATATTGTTAATTAGGAGTGTTCTAGGATCTTCCCATTGAAAGAAAGTAATGACATGGCGTTTGCGAGTGATCGGGGAATTAATTATTTCGGGAACGCGATAGTGAACTCTACTCTGGGAAGTGACGACTAACTACGAGTAATCGACTTACACATCCACATTTGCGATTATTAAGGACCTTACCGTAGAAGCTTAGCGATTTTGGACTACGTGATACGTATACTTGCCATGTGTGTAGAAAATACGTTCACTTCTCTCACAACACTCTTCTGTAACAACAATGTTTGCCAGTAAACTTGGCTGCAGTCGGAAATAATAGATATTCCTAAGCGAAGCTCAGATCTTTTTCATTTAAAAAATACTATACAGTAATTTCTTATCAATAAGCAGTGTCACACAACACAGCATATGATAATCTGCATTTAATATTGAAGATATGCTATCAAAAATCCTAATCGCTTTCTAAAATCCATTGGTACGACAAATTTAACATAGTATGACTGACCTGTGCACGGCAACTAAATACTGCATCGGAGGTTCGGGCTCAGTATGGGCGTCCATCTTGTACATGTCGGACGGCGAGGAGGCGAATTTGATCTTGGGCAGCCCAGTGCTGGGCGGCGGCAGGTTGAGCGAGCGCAGGCTGGGCGTAGGCGAGCTCGAGCCCGTGCGCTTGGGCAGCGTTAGGCTGCGGTAGTCGTTGTTCTTGTAGAACGTGTTCGGCGGGCTCTGGGACATAAGAATTTCCGATCTCGAGCGCTGAAACCGACGTTGTTAGTGTCAGAAGAAAATGGAGAAGTCAAGAGTGATTAAAGTAAAATTGAGTTGCTGCACGACTAAAAATTAATAAAGCCAAACATTCAAATGAGCCAATCGACGCTCTCCGTGACTTTAATAAACATAAATGAAGATGTACTCTTCGTAACTACCGCAACAGACAAAGAGGGGCAAAGAGAAAATTTAGCGGTAGAAGAATGAAATGAAGTAATCAATAAAGAATTTGAAATTATTTTTAACATATCACTTAATTTACCTTCATTTATAAGCCGTAGGAAGGGTCAAATGAACTATATTGATCTATTTACATCGTGAAAAATGAAGCTTGCAACAGAGATATGAGAATAATTAATATTGTGTATTTGTTTGCAAAAACTAAAGACAGAAAATAATAGAAACATAAATTTAGAAAACAATAATAATACAAAATAGAATATTGAGGCAAAATTATAAAACCCATGGCAATAACGTAATACGAAATCATTTCGTAATCACACACAGAGTAATACAAAATTACAGTTAAAACTCCTTACAATACCGTGAAAAAAAGAAATTAAAATAATTTCTTGTTATGACGAAATGTTTGTAAAGATATGTATTGTATATCTATAATTTACTAGAAGTATTACAATTTAAAGCGAAATAAAAACCTTCATATTATGTAGCATGACTGAGAGTAGACTTGCATTATAGATATTTTATATTCATATCATTTGTGCTAATTACAGGGCGGGTTGCTTCACCTATACTTACACACGCGTACACATTTACGTATAAAAATGGCGCCAAGTATAATCAAACTAGAAAAAGAGTTGTTTCCAAAATGTTGGTCTAAGCTTACGTTAAAAATAACAATCATGATAACCGGTGCTTTACCCAATGGTTACCGTTATTATAGCCATTACTTGTTGAAGATCGTAATTGTTATTATTTGACGTACGTATGTTAGGTTTACCAACCTTTTGAAACAACTCGCTCCTAAACTATAAAAATAGTCAATAATATACAAGACATATCTTAGAAAACACCGTGTAAACACAAGGAATAATAAATTTATTTACAAAAAAGGCTTTGTACAATGTATTCTATGAAAGTTATTTAATATGTTATAATTACCACTACTTGAAAAAAGATTTTACGAAGGCAAATGCTTATAAATTAAATAACCTTCATCAGATTAGGTGTCATCTGGTTTAAGCAAATAAAACATATTAAACGACTTATGATCCGTGTACTAGCTACATAATTTTAAATTATCAAAACAATGGCAACACTACCCTTTTTCAACATTGGAAAATCCTATTAGAGCATTGTGTCAGTGAATGGCAACACTACCCTTTTTCTACACCGGAAAATGATACTGGAGTATTGTATCAGTGATCTTTGGTAATAGCAAAGTACATACTATGTTAATGATGTGGTGTAACAATGAATAATATAAATAAATAATATGCTAAGGTTAATGTTACATAATATAATTATTAAATTTAAGAATGGCCGGCTGAATGAAATGTTCCAAAATGTATGGAGCCTGGGCCAGGTCCTTGTACACTATACCCGAAAATAGAGAAAACGGTTCTAAACTGTCCAATTATTTTATAATGGCTTTGTTTGCTGGTAAAGCACAGGAATTTACTCTTGAAATTGCAATACACTACAAAAGCCCGTCATGGCGGTAAGCTGTCATTTTTATTGATTAGTGACGTTTGACATCTTTATTTCACGTATTTTTGATACTGTTGTGACAACTGAGTTATCTAGACTATCTATGATCATTGGTCGCTTTATAATTAACTGTCATTATTTATAAGCACGGAGTAACTAAATCGGTAAGACGCCATGTTGAAAGTTGATAAAAATAATTGATAAACATCAATTGTTTACCACAACAGGATATATTTACGAGCTATGCTGCAGCTATATTAATTGTGTAGTTGTAGCACGAATAGGTCGGCTCGACCGGGGAAGGACCACGCTCTCACAGAATACCAGCATCAAATAGCAGCTTAATGCTGCTGTGTTTCGTATGGTGAGTGGAGAGAACCGGAGACCCTTTTTACTGGAAGAGGCATTCCATCTTAGTCCTCACGGGTGACAACGCATCTGCATTTTGATTCGCAAACGAGGATAGATGTAGATGTCTATGGGCCACAGCAACCACTTACCATCAGGTGGACTGTGTGCTCGCTTATCACCCTTTTCCTATAAAATAAAATAAAATAAATATTTAAATGAATTATCTGTATTTTGGGTAGTGTACATAAACCTGGCCCCTTTTGAAACATGTGCTTTGGGTGCAGTTTTGGACATAGATTAATGAATTTTTTCGTACGAAGTTCGACATTTTCATGTTACGGTCACGGTAATTTTATCTATACAGTATTCCAACTTCATACAAACGGACGAAGCGAGAGCTATGCCTACGCGCCTCGATCTCGGCATGCGCTCGGCATGCAGACAGTCGAGACTGTGCCGCAGTCATGATTTTGCGAAATATATAAAAAATGGAAGAAATAAATAATAGAATAGAAATAAAGAAATAATAAATCCGAACTTCATTTAAAATCAAACATATAAATTGTAAAGTAGCTGTAGGTATCTATAACCAATTAAAAGATATTCCTTTTCTCCACGTTGTCCATGTTTCCCAAAACAATTTTGAATGAAGCTTTATATTAGAAAGCGAATTTTTTATATTTAAAAATCTAATAATAAAGCATTTCTAAGTCTCAGCCGAAGCGCTAATATTTTTCGGTCGCAAATTTATAAGACTGATTTGTTATTAAAACATAAACATGGTTTTTTAATTAAATCTACCAATCAAAAAACGACACGCATTTTTATTTTTTATTGAACACTTCCTATTCAATTCACAAAGTACCTACTATATTTGTTTATATAAAAAGTATATTTACAATCATAAAACTAAATGGAAACACAAAGTAGGCAAATGTAATGCTGAAGGCAGGCAGCCCTATCGCATGTTTACGTACCGCGCGGCTATAGGCATTTATTTGAAAGATAAGGCCGAGTTACAATACTGTATAGATAATATTACCGTGGTACGGTTAACAGTAAAAGAAATAATATACCAAAGTTTACCGTAATTTGCTTGGATTGATGGCTAAAAGTTTACCACGTTTAGTTCAATAACTGACAATGCTAAGAAAATGTCATAACATTTAAATATGGAGGACGTAAATTATGTTATATTGGAAGAGACCTAAGTCCCGGCGCATAATGTTATTAGCCTAAAATTGAGGGTGATAAAGTTAATGGAGGTTTTGTGGAACTAATAGAAAGTAATAAGTACATATATTTTTATTTTATACAACAAGTTAATGATATATTTTCAAATGATTTGAATTAATTAAATATAATGTTTTGATTCTTGTCTTTTTATATAAAAATGAAATGATGCAAATGTCGTTAGATGATTTGTGTATATTAGTTTTTAAAAACAATATCAATAGGGACGGTGAATAGAATGATGTTTCGTTACCTCTCCGATGGGAACAAGTTGATATGTTGACATCCGTGGCGACAAGTCATTTGCGCTTGGTAACACAAAATTAAGTTCAAATAAAAATAAAACACTTTAGTAACATAATGACCTTTACCTTGTTAGTAGTATCAAGTTGAAATATTTTTGCTTTTATCTGTTTTATTAGATTTTAATTAAATTTTGTTTTATAACGTATATGTATATGGTACGGATATTTATTAAGTTAAGTTTATTTTAGTTTAACATATGACAGTAAATATTTCAGACAAATTCAGTTGGCGCCAATATATACTGGATGACTATTTTTACCATCTGGTTAAAAATAGGATGTAACAGGTGAACGGAGTAGAAGATTATGGCACTGATATTTTACAAAAATAAACACATAATATATAAATCAATTCAAATCAATTCAAATCATATCCACACTACTTTACGAGTGGTAATAAAAAAATAAATTTAGTAGACAGGGTCACAGGCTCCTGCCCCGCGCACCCTCAACTCTCTTCAGTTACGTGTGGTTAGCTAAGACGTGACGTTGCGTCGCCGTCGTATTGTTTATGTTACCGCGTGTGTATCGTAAACATGTACCAATACTCGTATGTCGAGTATCTAAAAAGGACGAGCTAATTTGGATAGGTGGATAGGTCGTGGTTGACCTGTGAACCGTAGCCGGCGAGATCGCCACACCTAACACCTCTAGACTTATATTTATGGGTCGAACTAAAACGATTAGTGTACAAAGAAGCACAAAGTTTTAGTGATTTAAAGCAGAGTATAATAGACGCATTTAATGTAACAAAAAGTGATAGAGACGCTCTTAGACTTTTAACGAACAATTCACGTTTTGACATTTTGAACAATGATAGCGATATCGCTAAAAAAGTAATTTTTATTTGTAAATAACAATAATGTGGTATAATTTTGTAAATATCAATCAGTGTAGTTTGTAAATAAGTTGATTTCGATCTTTTAAATACGCCAAGATGTTGCAGTATAATAGGTAGGCATAAAAATTATTATTATAACCAGTTTATCAATTCATTGTAATGCAAGATAAAATTTAACATGTAATTCTACTCAACTACAGCATACTAGACGGTCCTAAGCCCGTAAAAGTATGAAGGAAAGATCGAAATCACAAAAATAATAATCTGAAACGAAAGGTAATTTAATAACTATTTTCTGTTTCACATTTTTTCGCTATTTAAAAAAGAGTGGCAATGGGAAGTGCTGCTATTCCATATCTTTTTCTTTTATCGACCAAGTATTTTATTAATAACCAGTATATGCTGATTTTGCACTAGTACTGGGAGGTCTACAACACTGAAAATTTCATTGACATTATAGGAGGAAAAACCACCACCAACTTCCTGACTCCGGGCAGCTACTGAGAATTTCTTGACGGAAAAATTCAATAAATAGATTTGTTTTGTCCCGACCTGGGATTCCAACCCGAGACCTCATAATCAGCTGTCACACTGTTACAACCACTGGTTACGCGGAAATGATTTGTGTATTTTAATTTTGTTCGAGGGTATATTTGCCAAGTGTCTATCTTTCCTTTGACCTATTGTCCCTTCCGTACACACTGAAAGGCGAAAGGGGTCGGGGAGGGGTCTCGAAGGTGACGCGATTTTTTCGACCAATGAGACGCGCGCCCGACCGAGGTACATTGGTGGGAAAGCCGAGGCAATTAAGGCTCGCGCGCTGCCCTCAAGCGGCCTCTTGCCTTCGCGCCGCTAGTCTGAACCGCACCACCTGGGGCAGTCGCGCCCCAGAAGTAACCGCATCACATAGTGTGAGATATCGTCGCGTCTCTTCCTTCGCACCACTAGCCTGGATCGCATCTCTGGGGCGCCCCAGAAGAAACCACCTCACGTCGCATCAGCGCAACGGAAGCGTCGTCCGCCGCATCAGAATCACACCCCGGTAAGTGTGTTTTTCAAGTATAATGCTACTTGAGCTTTTCGTCATTAACTAACCCGTCCCATTTTGTTTCTCCTAATGTGCTCAAGTAGGATTCCATCCTACCCTTGGTAAGCAATAGATTTGAAAGAGCGAGTGCATTGTCCAAGATTGCCGCGTGCAACGTCCGCCATCTTGTTGCAGAAGCCAACCGCGTATACAGTCCACCTAGTATAACATCTCGCACAATAGGGTCAAGGATCGACCTGGGAATGGAACTCGGGAACCCCTAGGCCCGCCGCCCAACCAACCACTATACCAACGAGGCAGTCATAATCATAAATAAATATCAATCGTGCCTAAATACTTATGAGTGAGAAATAATTTTTGGTAAAGTAAGGCGCGCGTCAGTTGATTCTAAAAATTTTGGCTGCAACGATGTGTCGGCCGCTCCCCCCCACTCGGCCGCCTAGCGTCTACATAACGAAAGATGTGCATGCGTCTCGTTCGCTCTTACAACTTTCATTCACTGGCGATGGTAGCCTATTTTTAGTTTTACGCAAACATTGTTTTTATGTATTTTTTTTTGGATATTCGGAAATTTTGCCTATCTAGTTATATTTTGTTATATTTTTTCCAAATAATTTCGAGGATAGTTCTATTCCACTTACACAAAACAACATTTTATTTTCCAGACGGTAATAATAGTCACCCAGTATATTTTGTTTTTCATACAATTTATTGTTGTTTACTTTTTAAAATAGAAATTACATATAACTTTTTTTTAAACAAGAATATAGAAAAAAAGATTATATTGAGACATAATAGCGACAGTATATTAATGTTTTAACGGATCATCATATCGTTTTCATTTATTTAAATTGGCGAATACAGTTTATATGAGAGTAAAAAGGAATGAGAGAGTACACTTAGGCGGTTACAAATTTGTATAAAAAATAATTACGACACTATCAATTAAGCAAGGCAATTGTTTAGAACAGCCTCTGAAGGATATATTAAAATGAAAAAGTACTTTTGACTAATACGTATTATTATTTTAATTGTTGTATGTCCAAGTCTCCTTCAATTTGTAGTGATGTAGTATCTGAGCACACCACCCATTTTACACCTCGGCGTACCTAACTTTACTATTAACTTTTTTATTAGGGTTTCGTAGTCAACTAGAAACCCTTATAGTTTCGCCATGTCTGTCTGTCCGTCTGTCCGTCCTCGCTTAATCTCTGTGACCGTTAGCACTAGAAAGCTGAAATTTAGTACCAATATGTGTATCAATCACGCCGACAAAGTGGTAAAATAAAAATTGTAAAAAAATGTTTTATTAGGGTAGCTCTCCTATATGTAAAGTGGGAAGTGTTTTTTTTTTAATTTCAACCCTAACGTGTGATATATTGTTGGAAAGGTATTTAAAAATGAATAGGGGTTTACTAAAATCATTTTTTGATAATGTCAATAATTTCGGAAATAATCGCTCCAAAAGTAAAAAACAATGTGTCCCCCCCCCCCCTCTAACTTTTGAACCATAAGTTTAGAAAATATGAAAAAAAATCTGAATAGTAGAACTTTATAAGGACTTTCTAGGAAAATTATTTTGAACTGGGATGGAAAGTCGGAGCGCCTGCCGCGAGCGTGCAATGTTTTACGCTCCATGTTCGCGCACGTACCTACTACCGGGAGCAGTTGCAGGAGCGCGGAGCGCTGCTGGAGCGCGAACATAATGGATACCCACCTTTGAACTCATAAGTAGGAACACTTATTGTGACGAACGGGAAACTACGGAACCCTACACTGAGCGTGGCCCGACACGCTCTTGGCCGGTTTTTATGTCGTGTTGAAATTGATAAATATCACCTATTGTTACTGAGTGAAATTATCGGTAGTGTATGTTTTGGTTGATATCTTAAATTTGAAATGGCTGTTCGGTTTTTGCTGGTGCTTTACAGATTTAAATCAGACTTTAGTTACTAATCTTAGAATCATGTTAATATTTCAAAGAAATAGATCTTGAAAATATTGTTTTTTATTTTTATGGGAGAGGAGGCAAACGAGCATGCGGTTCACCTGATGTTAAGTGACTACCGGCACCCGTGAACAACTGCAACACCAGCGGAATTGCGGGTGCGTTACCTGCCTTTTAGAAGGGAGTAAGCTCTTATCGGTCCAGAAAAATCGCCGGTAGTTAACTATTCCACAGAGAAGTCGTACGCGGAAGAAAACTCCTAGTGAAACGTACAGTGGTGGACAGCCAAGCATCGCAAATGGTGCGGATGGTATCGGGAGGTTTGCCGCGTAGTGTGTTCATCAAATTTGGCGGCTGAGATTAATTCGAACAATTTCTCAGAGCAGACCATATGTCAAGGCAAAATCATGAACAGATCTCCCCGCACGATCGGTTAAACGTGAACCAAGCCATTCGGCGTGGTGGGCGTTAAAATCGCCGAGGATCACGATCTCTGCGGAGGGGATCTGCTGTAGCAACGAATCTGTAGCCAATTGGGCGTGTTTTTCTGTGTGTGTTGTGTGTGTCGATCTGTGTGGCGTGTTCGGTCTGTTTCGGCATTACCACTATGGGATCTATAGAGGCAGCCGTGGACGCGCGGATGGTCGTCGCTGTCTACGCGTAGCCATAGGATGGACAGGTCCAAACCTTCAAGACTGCCGAGGCGTCGAGAACAGATGTCCTCTCTGGCGTATACGCAAACTCCAGCCCGAAGCACAAAGGAGTGTTTCAGTTTGTACCCCGGGTAGGAGAGATACGAAGCATCAGCCGAAGAGGACACCTGCGTCTCGGTCAGAAAGAGCAGAGCCGACTTCGTCGTCTCGAGATGGTAGTGGAGGGCGTTTAGGGTAAAATGAAGTCCCCTGATATTGCAGAAATTCACGAATAGCGTGGCAGCTGTCGCCTTGGTCTTTTGTGAGCGGAATTTTGCCCCCCTCCCCCCGAGAATACGCGGGGCAGCCTAAGCAACCAAGCTCAGGAGTGGAGCAGCTAGGTCGTAGATTCTCAGCGAGGGATTCTCCAGGGTTACTGATACCCTCCTGGGGTAGTCTTGCATTCAATTCCGCTACCATGTTGATGGGGGGGGGGGTCGGGCCTCCGGCCACCTGCACTCACCAGACGAAACGCGGAAGCAGATCTTCCACTTCACGCAGGTATTCTGTGAGGTCGTGGTACAACCCCGGTCAGCAAAGCTGCCGCGTGGCTGGCTCTACTACTGTTAAAATATGTTATGAATTATGAAATATGGTATTTTGACACTAGTATCAATATCAAATATGAAATAAGTTTAAGAAACCTTTATATATGAAATTATATATATAATAAGTGTAACAATATCTTGAATAAACTTTGTAAGTTTCTCGTGAAGTGAATTTATTAATTCTTTTGAGACTTACGACGTAGGCTTGACTTTAATAACTGTAAAATTTATCTATATTATTTAAATATCGTTATTTGCAATGGCATCTTCATCGCGATTCGTAACCGCCCGCGTGCACGAGTGCGTGTGCGTACGTACGTGCGTGTGAGCGTGCGTGCGCTAACCTTGAAGCAGAAGAGCGCGGGCATGCAGAGCGAGGAGGAGGCGCGCGGCCGCACACTCACCTCGTCCCCGCTCCCCCCGCCAGCACCGCCCCCACCCTCCCCGCACTCCCCGTCCCCCTCGCAGCCGTCGCAGCCCAACGCCACGCCGCCCTCACTCCACCCTACGGCACAACCAATAATACATATAAAGGTCTAGTGCGCGCGCGTTAAATTGTTTAATTTACTAACTAACACCAGTGAATATAACTTTTTATGAAAGTAAATTGACAAACGATCTTAACAATCCACCTGATTGTACGTGGCTAGTGGTCACAGTGATATACACACTAGTAACCATTAAAATTTTTGTATAACCGACTTCAATATGAATTAAATCGAATTTACTAGTAAGATTAGAGGTACTTCTAAACCTCTTAGAGGTAGCAAATTTAACAGACATAGGGGTGTACCGTGGTATACTGAACACATCGGCGTACCGATTTAGAGGGTACAGTTATCGTGATTAATTGCCGAGGCTTTTATTGAGTTCCATTCCGTTGTCTGGTTGCTAAACTCATTATCAGATTTTTAAGAAATTTAAACGGCACTATTTCGGAATAAATTAGTAACAAAAAATGGATTTTGCAAATCTGTCTATATATGATGGAGGTATTCCTGAAACATACATAAAAAAATATAAACATGCACTTTTAAATCGTCTAAAAAGGTACGACAATATTAAAACAACTCGAAAAAGTTGTTAACATCAATTGCTCACATCAACGTAAAAAGGTATCATCTCTATAAAAAAAAATCAGAAAAGCGGTTGACGGGTAAGCCAACCCTGGAACTTCCTATTTTTTTTAGAGCTTGAAACGTTCAAAATCATCCAATTGGTTGATTTTTGAGCTCCTCGAGCTCAATTTACAAATACAAAAAAGTCTCTTTGATGTTTGGAATTGATTAGTCAAATATTTTGAGTTACTTTAGTAAAAAAAAATATTTTTTGAATATCATTAAAACGGCTCCACCGATTGTCTTCAAAATGTAATTAGATCTAAGACTTACTGAACATTTTCGAATGTTCTAAAGAAATCGTACGACAACATTTATTTACATACATATATACGTACATACACACACGCACGCATGCATGCACATACCTAAATGCACACACACACACAGACACATTCTCAAAATCAGATCGAAATCTATAACTTCTTACTTTTGAAAATTATTAACTTTCAAAGCGAGAAGTTAAAAATCATTTAATGTCCGTTAGTCTCGCAAAAACTCGAAAATGGCTGTCGACTGATTTTGATGGATTTTTAAGTGTGTATTTGGGTGGGGCCCCTGGATGGTTCAAAAACTCAATTGGACCCGGTAGGTGGCGCGGTGGCGTGTAAACCCGGGGTGGATCACTAGTTATTTATGGTAAAGTTTGAATACACTTATAGTTCGGCCGTTCAGAGAATGCGTTTCTGACACGTCGCGATTGAACTGACGACGTAACTTTGTAATGGCGTTGCAGTTACGATAAAAATATTTTTGCTGGTTGTTTACCGTTTTAACAATTGATTAGCATTAAAACAACATTATTATATCAATAATCAATGAATGTTATAATTTTGTGCCAAACAGAGTGTCAAATAACTTGGTAAACAATATTTTTCTAAATCTATACTGCGCTATTACAAGGTTATGTCAGCGCTTTATATTTGTAGTGCTGTGCTAACAATAACAGGCAATAACAGTAGCGTAATCTGTTCTTATACAGTTATACTTTATAAAATAATACGTTTTGTTTTTCTTTTTAATAATTTGAAAATAATGGACTATAAGATAACTTTTATTAAAAATAAAAATAAAACTACGATCAAACCGAACGCGCGAAGGAAAGTAGCATTTTTATATTTAGGTTGAAAATGGTAACCCTAAATGGCGTTATGGCGTTTTGTGACGCTAAAACAGTCGTCTGTTGTCGTTTCGTGCGCATAGACCACGTTCTTCAAGTGTTTTCGATCTGTTTTTATTTGATTACCCGGCTTTCGTTTAAGGGACTGTTTCTGCTTTTCAAACTGACATCGGCGCTAAATCGGACTTCGATTGTGTTTTGTATTGCGTCCTTTTTACTTTTGGTGCATAATAATGCCTAAACGTAGACACACATTGAAAAGTGGAGCCCGTGAGTTAATCATCAAGCTGCAAGATTACTTTGAGCGGGAGCGGCAAAATGGCGGACCCCTGTTACCTGTCGAACAAGTACAAGAACGCGTCTCTCAGGCGCTTGGAGTTAGCAAACGAACGATAACAAATATTAATAAAGAAAAGTTCGACTCTACTGGCACGGAAGATAATATTTTACGTACTCCGAAGAAGAAACGTAGAACTAAACCCGTGACAGATATTGACACCTTTGACGCCGATGCAATCAGAAATCATATATATGGTTACTATTCCAGAAATGAATATCTCAACAGGAAGAAGCTTTTGGCATCATTAAGAGAAGCTGGACTGTTTAGCGGGGGTAAAACTGCTTTAACCAAAATCTTAAAAGATATTGGTTTTTCGTATAAAAAAACAGACAAAAGAAAAATTTTATTAGAACGATACGACCACTGACCTCTATATATACAAGTACGCTGGACTGGCTATACACCGTGACATGATGAAGCGATTTGATTTCCGCCATTTTGGCGCTGACATCAGAAGTGCACGTCCACGGAACTAATACTAGGGATAAGACAGTGTACCAAATTATATCGATAAAAATTCTATACCCTGCCTATACCTAAATAAATAGAATGGACTCTATGGATAGATGGACTCTACCCATAACGTCCTTTCTATTTATGTATCATATTAATATAATGCCATTATCATTCATCATCATTAAAACCCTTCACAAATCCACTGCTGAACATAGGCCTCCCCCAAGGAATGCCACAAAGCACGGTCCTGAGCTACCTGCGTCCATCAACTTCCTGCATGTCTTACCAGGTTTTGACTCCATCTAGTGGGGGAACGTCCTACACTTCACTTGCCGGTACGAGGCTGCCACTCGAGAACCTTTTTTCCCCATCGGTATTCGGTTCAATGCAGCGGGCATTGGAAGACATTTTCAACCTACTCGACTGGAAAGGATACGGTATTAACGTCAATGTCGTGTACGTTACGCTGCAAAAATTTGAGATTGAAACTAGATTAAAAATAAATGTATTCAATCACTTTCAGTGCAACTAGTAGAGATGTCGTTGTTTATATTAATTATTATTTGATTTTCAAAAATGCAGTCAAAATTAATGTCTCTTTCAAAACTATCCATAATAATTTGTTTTGTTTTTCTACCACTTTTCCCAATCATCTTTTGTGACGTGGGCACATGCTTCAACGAATATAGAAGAAACAGTCCAAAAAGTTAAAGCCGAGTCACAAAATAACACACAGTAAGCTCTCGAAACAGAAACGGAATCTGTTTTATTCAATATAGATTATGAATAATACTTATTGAAAATCACTTTTGTCATTTACCACTGGTCCCAGTAAAAATACTCATCAACAACTTCAGCTAAGTGCTCCCAAAAACCACAGGCATAGGTGTGACATAGACATTACACATGACTTTTGTTTTGTCCATGTTCATCTTAAGACCTATCCGTTGGGAGACACGATTGAGGTCATTGAACATAGTGCGTAGGTCCTCCAGCGATTGTGCCATTAGGACTATATTGTCGGCAAATCGAAGGTGAGTAACGTACACGACATTGACGTTAATACCGTATCCTTTCCAGTTCAGTAGGTTGAAAATGTCTTCCAATGCAGCGGTAAAGTATTTCGGGGATATTACGTCACCCTGTCTTACACATCTCTACAGTTGGATTAGTTTTGTACTCTGGTTCTGTACTCAGATAGCCATCATAGCCCTTAACCATTCAACTAAAAAAATATTAAGATTAAACTAAGTACACAAAATAATAATAAAAACATAATTTCTAGAATAATTTATTGTCAACTGTTCACTTTGTTTTAGTATTATAAAAAACAAATCAGCTGCTATAATAACGCCTATTCTAATCAACTACAGGTCTGTCTATTGACAGTAAAATATTTTCTATTATATAAAAATTTATGTTTGTTCGTACTTTCTACGATGCCATACCGTTCATCAGATTGCGGTAAAACTTAGTCAACTTATTGGTTGCACTTGCGAGAAGGATATACGCATGGTACAATTAACTGACACTAGGTGGCGTGCGTATTATACTGACTATTTATTTGAAAGTTATAGAAAGTTCTATATCATTCTATTTCAATGATTGTATTATCATTCCTAATTATACAATATAACTGTTCCACATTTTAACGGTATTTCCACAATTATTTCTTCTGTGGCAGCAATGCGCCGGGTATGAGCTAGTAAGATTATATAAAAAAATATAAACTTTGAACTACATAGTTATCAGTTATTTACAACGTCATTTTCGAAATTAAAATTACAATATTAAAAAAAATAACTAAAATTATCAATTACCGAGCCCGATATGTGAATGGAGCCAGGGAAAAACGAGCACTTAGAAGCAACAAGTGGTGCAACCTCACCAAAGTCGCGAAAAACAGTCGAGTGGCGCATCGTCAATCGCCATACCAACACTCCTCTTCCAGTAGTACAGGGAGAGGAAACTCCTCTAGCCGCAGCCCACTAACACACATCCAACGTGACTCGACATCATCAGGCGACCTTTCGACACTTGGCTATGTCCCTTGAGTTTGGTGGAAAATTAGGAAAGAAGAAATAAAAAATCATTCGAAATAATAATCTAATACTTAGTACTTGGTAGCTGGTAGTGCTTGGTACTGGTACCACCAAAAAATATTGTCGGTATACTGCACTTTTTCAAAGTGGTACAGTTCTCATATCTAATAAAACAGTCGTCTGTGAAATGTTTGGAACAAATATGATCATTTTGTTTCGGACGCCAATTCACAATATTTATGATATTAAGCCATAATTTTAGTCTAGGTTCAGTTGGAAACCTGTTAATTAATAAACATTTGATAACCATTTGTTGTTGGTGACTTTGTTTGTTAACAGATATGGGTAGGAAAGAACATCGATAATTATTATAGACAAGGAACTCGACAACCCTATTGAATTTTATTGTTTATCAAAACTCAGTAATATACAGCTAAATATGTTGGTATATATGATATTAAGATTAGTAACAAATTTCTACGTACTTATATTATCAAATAGTTTTAATTTGTTTAATATTTACTGCAAATTCACTTACTTGTGAAATGTTATACCACTTCCCTTTTGGTAACGAGTTTTACAGATTACGCACCCTCTCATTATTAATGAAAATAATTCTTATTATGTAACTAATATTATACACAATCAAACAACATAAAATACTTTCGTTTTTTATTTTAAAAGTTCAAAATACAGACTTATTAAATATGACAATATGAATAAGACAACATACTTTGGCATATTATGTCAATTTTATTTTTCAAGACATCCTTCAACGGCGCTTCAAATTCGCACAGTCATTTTGTATGGTATAGCCAGTCCAGAGTACTTGTATATATAGAGGTCAGTGGATACGACATAATTTTAAAACGGATAAGTTTTTTGAGAGAAGCAAAAAATATTGATAACTGGGATAATGTCGTGTTCATTGACGAAAGATACATAAGCGTCGACGTCGAAAGTACGAACGGGTAAGGGGGCCCGTCTGATAATATGCCACGCAGGTTCTGCAAAATACGGCATTGTGGGGAACGCGTTACTGGCATTTCAATCAAAAACAACAAATGACTACCACGAGGAAATGAATGCCACTACATTTAAAGTGGTTCCAGAACGTGCTTTTGCCCAGCCTAGCAGAGACTTCTGTAATATTCATGGATAATGCCTCCTATCACTCGGTTCAAATACAGAAACCACCTACCCAAGCTAATAAAAAAGAAGAAATGGTGGCTTGGTTACAAGCAAAAGGCATTGACGCAAATATGCAGATGCTAAAACCAGAGCTAATTAAATTAGTTAAAGAAAATAAAGCGGCAAATGTGCGATACGAAATCGATGAACTGGCTCTGGAGTACGGTCATCGCGTTCTAAGAATTCCACCGTATCATTGCCAATATAATGCGATTGAGCTAATCTGGGCTCAAATAAAAGGTTACACCGCCCGCCACAATACTTCCCCGCCATTCAGCACGAAAAAGATGATGACCCTATTAAAAGAAACCTGCGGGGAAGTCACAAGAGATGACTGGGCTAAGGTTGTTGAGAAGACTAAAAACCTGATTGTGGAAAATTTTGACCGAGATATCAGGATTGATTCTGTTATTGATAATAATATAATTATACATGTAGGCGCAGATGATGATGAAGACACAACCTCCTCAAGCGAATCGGAGTCTGATTAATATTCTGTACGCACATTCAATTCAATGTACTTTATTGCATAGAAATACAGATTGTAACTTTGTAACAAAGAATAAATAAAACAATTTTATTATATTAATATTACCTTTTTTTTGGTTTCCACTTAAATTACTAAAATATAAATTTTAAATGATTCCGCCAATTTAAAACGAAAATAATCTTAAAAATAACAGGGCGGTTCATTTTGGAGGAACGGTAACGAACTCAGTGTTATGTTGTGCCCATCACTAGTCGTGACTAACTGATAGGTGTCAGGAACGCATTCTCTGAACGGCCGAACTATAAAAAATAAACCCTGTATAAAATACACAAAATAAACGTTTAAAAATAATGAAGAATGTAGGAAACTGACCGTAGGTCGATGGGCTGGGTATCTCGTAGGCGAACAGCTCGGCGGCGGGCTGCGCGGCGTGCGCGGCGAGCGGCGCGCCGAGCCGTGCGCCGTCCGCCAGCAGCCGCGCGCCCGCCGCGCCCGCCACCTCCGCCACCACCATGCTGCGCACCACGGCCCACACGTCATACGTCATCACCAGCCGCACAGGCTGCGTTTGGCAGAAAAAAGCGCTAGCAAGCGCTTGTAAGCAAAATGGCGAGACTAAACAGTTTTTGGCCAGGACACGTTTGCTAATTTCAGTAGCGCTGACACAATCCGCCATTTTGCTTATTTACTTTGTTTGTTTTGAAGTAGAGTTTATAAGTTTTTTGTGCAAAATTAGTTTTAAGTAATATAATGACATGAATAAACATATAGATGTTATTAAAAATTCATGATTGGTAAGTTTTTAATATGATTACTTTACAAACATATATTTAAATTAGGTTAGGTTCCCCGGTTAAAACTAACAACGTGTCCTAAAGGAAAATAGCTACTTACGATTTGACAGCGCTTACCGCTTACAATCGCCATTTTGCTTACAAGCGCTTGCTAGCGCTTTTTTCTGCCAAACGCAGCCATTACTCACTACCGTCAGAACCATCCATTACAATAATGGCTCAAATGCTATTTTGTTACACTTGCCACGTTCAATAAAAAATTTTTTTACGAATGTTATCGCGTTTAAATTAACTTATATTTAATTCCCAACGTTTCGAGTGCTTTGCAGCACTCATGGTCTCGGAGGTATCTGACCCGCAATAAAATCCGTAAAAATAATTTTATTCCATGTGTAGTGTTCGCGTCAATATAACATCACTATACTTGTCACGTTTGGCATAAAATCACTATAGTTGTCACGTTTGGCATAATTCACTATAGTAGTCTCGTTTGGCATAACATCACTATAGTTGTCACGTTTGGCATAACATCACTACAGTTGTCATGTTTGGCATAAAATCACTATAGTTGTCACGTTTGGCATAACATCCCTATAGTTGTCACTTTTGGCATAAAATCCCTATAGTTGTCACGTTTATCATAAATCACTACAGTTGTCACGTTTGGCAGCATGTTGGTAGCAAATTTTTCATTATTGAGTTGTTTTTAAGAAAATGCTACGGACAATGACCTGTTTCAATTTCCCTCTGTCGCAACTTGACACCAACGAGACGATATGAAGTAGAGGTTATTCTTATACCGCTATTGCACGGTTCATTACAACTTAATATATTCTATTTACTGCTTTTGAAGAATCCACTACCCCCTATATCATCCCGTGAGTATGGTAAGAAACGACAAAAGGAAATTAAAACAATATATCATATAAGAAGTCAAACTTTAGGCAATATGTTTACCAATGGACTTTGATAGGCTACAATGATAGTTATTGTAACATTTTAAATGTACATTAATTTATTTGATTTTTTTAAAGTTACACACAACGACATCATCATAACAGAACTTCACATATCACTACTGAACATAGGCCTCCCCGCATTTCCGTGGTTTATTTGTAGGGAGACTCGTCAAGTATCTACTCCTTAAAAAAATGAAATTCGTTATTATGGAATCAACATTATTTAGAAATTTAATGGATTTTTCATTGGTTGATATATCTTTTTAATAACAAGTACATAACTCCTAAAGACCTCACAAATAATGACTAGCGTGACATTTTGCTCAAACACGCACCTTAACAACAGCAACATGACACAATTCTGAATTTTGGTATACAAAAAAAAACAATACACGTCTGTACAGATAATATAAATACCGTACCGTATCAAGTTTAAGAACATGACACAAACATAAAATAAATACATGAAAACATGAAAATAAAAGATCTTTATATGCTTACAATTAAATTTACATGAAGAACAATAAATATGGGTAGTAATAAAGGATCAAGTAATGGCTATATTAACGCTATCTTGAGCACTTATTATGGCATCACAGATTATTATGTTTTATCGTATTATTCATGTGGGAAATATCGACGTAAATAGCTTTTCTATCATAATAATTCATAGTATTGTCGTGCGACATTCGTGTTTAGTGGAGCATATTTTCCCTAATTAATTTTGTGTGATCAATGTTTTGAACAATGGGTGTCATTATAACAGTTTTAAGAACTTTATAAAATAACAGTTTTATAAATTGTAATTATATTAATTATATTCGTTAAACATTTAAAATTTTTTTTGATAAGAAGCATTTCACTAACCATTCTGGAGGCAGACCGCACAGTTCCGAGAGCTTTTTCTTCAAGTCCAAATACGTGCCATCTGAATTCACCCTCACTCCGTATTTCACCGGAACGGAACCATCCAATAGTATAACTGTTCGTAAGGACAGAAAAAAAAACTTCAAGAGATATCAGCAGATACTTGAGACCAGTGAAACTAGATAAAGAATGTAAGCAAAATCTTAGGGATGCATATTAGTTCTTATTTGTGAAATTTTTATTATATATTTATTTGCTCAGGCAATATAAGGGACCATAGGTGTTAGTTTTCATAAAAACGCAGTGACTTTATCAGTACTTAAACGCGCATTGGGATAAGTCCTAACATTCCCATCAGAGAACCATCCATCTTCCCTGCTATCATACGCAGGATGCTGTGCGCATCGCATCTAAGCCCATGCCATAGTACACACAGCCGTCACACTAAAGAACCAAAACAAACAACAGCCTCCAAAGCGCATTGTTATATTGGACTCGCAGAGCATTTTAAAAACAAGTACAGTACGATTGGATTTTTTAAAAATAATAGAATAATAACATAACGTTATTTTCACAACATCCGTACTCCGAGTAATTTATGGGCAATCATATTCGCCCGGACTGACAATGTTCCTACGTTTCCTCTCCATGTCAGCATCATCGCCAAGGTCTTTGGTTACCACGTGCAAGTTGGATACTTTGTACCTGCATTGAAGGTCATGAACTCCGTCTTCTTGATAGATTCTTATAACAAATATTATAAAAAAAATCAAAGTTACCTACGCTAATTGTGTCATCTCTTCAGAATACGAATTAATAAGTTAACCAGAAACTGTTAATTTTTATATAAGATTATACACCAAAAAAAAAAAAAACACGCAGGACTAAAGGCGCGTTTTCACCGAAATTGTTGGCAACTTTTGTGTTTCCATGTGTTTGCAACTCGCCAAAAATCACCAAATTTTGTTTCCATTGTGTCCACACCGAATTAAAACAAGTCGCCAACAAGTTGAGAAACATTTCAGTTGACAAGTAGCTGTCTTCACCAGTTTTGTTGGCAAAATGTCTTCAAACGACGATATTATGAGGTGCTTAGTTGTATTAAAAATTTATTATGGATTAATGTTTAAAAAAAGTCCCACCGGGTTTCTTGCTGATTTTTACCAGGACAGATTTTTTCGAACCAGTGGTAAAACGTAAAGTACTTTAATTAAATATTCTTGTAATCTATATTGAATAAAAAATATTTTATCCTCCTCTCTGCAATTCGTACGTAACCGAATGCTTTACATTTTTATCTCATCCCGCTGGCCTTATCTTTTGCCAAACTCACCTCGCACCTCGCAGCGCACAAAGGACTCCATGGGCAGCGGCAGGCTCAGCATATTGAAGGTGTCGAAGCGCACGGATTCGTGGCCGCAGGTGTCGCACCGCACTTTGGACTTCAGCTGTCCGTAGAACAGATCCGTCATGATCGAGCGGTTCCGCGACGTGAACTGCTCCCACGCTTCCGCAGCAATTTCCTGTTTAACAAAGTTAATAATAATACGTTCCGAGAAATATATAAGGCAAGGAAAATGTCCACCGCGTTGCCCCAATGCGTGTTGGCGAACTCATAGAATACATAGGTACATAACAGAACGGGGGAGTGGGCGGAGCCTGCGTAGCCACTAAAATGTCACTAACACGTCAATTCACACGTATAAATGTCAACACGAGATGTGTTTTGACGATACAATCGTTTTCAAATTTGCATGCAAATTATTTAGAAAATGCCAAATTGCACCCTATTTACAAATAGATATGTATTAAAATTTAATGATGATCTTGGACATTAATCAAAAGTCTAAAATGTGTAAATTTACTCAGAGCTAGTTTCACCATACGCTGTTTGTTAGTTTTAACGTCCAATTAAATAAATAACAGCTAACGAATGGTTAATTCTCTTAACAAGGCGTTAAACTTAATCACTGCTTCAAAGGTCCGTTAATGCTTTTAACGGCTGTCAAATTGGTTGTCAGTTGGTCAAATAAAATGGAAGCGACGTATAATTTTATTTTTGAACACGAAAATGATGATATCTTAGAAAATTTAGAACGTTTAGATAATATTGTTCGACGTCCTAAAACATATAAAGAGTGACGTGATTATTTTGAAGAATATGACGATGTAGATTTTACGTCAAGGTTTCGTTTGACGAAAGGATCTTGTATGGATGTTTTGCATATGATTGAAGATAAACTTGAATATCCATCAAATCGGTGAGTACCTACTTTAACATTACCTTATTTCGTGAATTGTACCTATTAAAAATATGCTTGTTTTGTTGTCTAGAACAACTTCTTATGTAAGGTGTTTATTATTAGGTATTAAAATGTTGGGATGCTAATTATAATATAGTTTAAAAGCTCACACATTGTTTCCCCCCTAGTAATAAGATCACTCCATCATCTCTACCGTGAATTTTACACAAACCTTCTAAAAGAAGAAAAATTTGTATGATGGGCATGGATGAAGCTAACCTAAAATTTTGTTTGCTTACAGAAACAAGTCGATTTCGCCAATAAACCAACTTCTTTTAACTTTGAGATATTATGCTACTGGTTCACAACAAATAACTATGGGTGATTACTGTGGAATGAGCAAGTCCACTTCTCACAGAATTATACATAGAGTTACTGCGGCTATAGCGTCATTCAGTCGCCAGTTTATAAAATTTCCCGTCTTAGAAGAAGAATTAAAAAAAGCACAATTACAATTTTATAACATAGCACGCTTTCCTAAGGCACTGGGTGCTCTTGATTGTACACATATACGCATTCGTTCTCCTGGTGGGGAAAATGGAGAACATTTTAGGAATAGGAAAGGATACATGTCTATAAATGTGCAAGCAATAGGAAATGCTAACTTAGAAATTTAAGATTTGGTGGCGAGATGGCCAGGAAGTAGCCAATATCAAACTATTTGGAACGGATCCTACAGAAGCACTATATTTGAAAGTGGTCGATACCGTGATGCCTTTCTCTTAGCAGACGGTGGCTATATGAACCGACCATACATTATGATGCCACTGCAGAATCCAATAACCCCAGAGGAGAGATTGTACAATGAATCTCAAATAAGAAGCAGGAACCCCATTGAACGCCTGTTTGGAGTATGGAAACGTCGATTCCCAGTACTTGCATTAGGTATACAAGTACAGTTAAAAAATTGCCTTCCTATAATTGTTGCTACGGCTCTGTTGCACAACATCTTAATAAAAGCAAATGAAGATTTGCCATCTGATGACCCGGAAATAAAACTACCGGCTCCTTGGGAAGATTTAATAGAACAAGGGCATATTAGGGAGCACAGATATAGTGATAACATAAACAGAGACATAAATCCTGTGCGCAGAAGTCTTATTAATAATTACTTCAGAAGTTTGCATTTACAATCATTATAAATAAAAGTCATTTTATAGTGTAACCTCCCTTTTATTTCTTATTCACATTATTAACATTTTTTGCCAAAGATCACTGTAATTCTAACAGTTCCGTTTTAATTCTCTCTTGTTTACGTTGCTCATCGAGCAATAAATTTTTTTCTCAGCCTCAATTTATGCATTTTTTTTTTTCAAAATTTCGACTAATTTTAACTTGCTAGTCAGTAAACTGTCGGCTATTGAAGCCCTTGGTCTTCTCCTGTGAAGCCATGTTGGGCTCCCCTTTTTTTTTGTAATTAGTGCATCTGACATTTTGGTTTTAAGTGCAGCTGGAGACCAACCATGCCAATTATTATCCTTATACTAAAACAAAAAGTAGGTTTATTTATATATCTCATCATCCATCCATGATATCTGTAGTCTAGGCCATCTTCCATGGGTGCGGTGAAAAAGTGATGAATATTTATAATGAGATAGGTACCTGAACTTCACGACGACTTGAGCCATCAAATGTTTCCTTATTTAACTCCCCTGATTCACCCTGAGAGCTATTCAGTCCCGAGGAACCAACTTGCTCAATCTGAAAATATATATATATATTAGAAATAAAAGCTATCCGTATTAAAATACATTTTTATATATCATAAAACAAAGTCTGTTTGGTTATCTGATCTAGTATATTTGTATCAGTTTATAATTAGGGTAGTTAAACTCATCCATGAAAATGTGCTATATATAGTTTATATATATATATAGTAAATAATATATATAAGTAATTTATTATAGAACATTTACATGGATTTTATGCACATGTTCTGTGTTAAAATATACACTATTATACGTTAATTAAAGGCCATAGAGAACTGGCTAGTATGTTTATAATTACCACAGTTGAACAGCCAGGTACTGCATCTAATAATACAATGTTCGGTAATATTTCTGCTGAATCTTCCTTCACTTTATTAGATGCTGTGACAGACTCTTGAAATTGACCATCGCTATCAAATTCGTTTGCAAGACCATCTAATGTTGGGCCAAGTAATATTTCTACTTGCTCTTGTAAAGGCCCTGGTGGTGGATGATTGGGCCTGCCTCCACCTAGAAATAGCAAAGTATAGATTATGAAACAGTGTAAACACTAAAAAGGAGCGTAAGTAGTCACTAGGAATCTTGTTAGATGAGGGATGTGTGAGAGTTTACAGTCAAGAATAGTTAGGTATTCGAAATAAAGGTAATAAATTATTACTGCGCTAGAATTTTTGAAAGTATAACGTGTTATTAAGTTACAAATAGATCATACCTGTTAAGAAAATCTCCTTCTTTGTGGCAGCTTTGTCTTTCCTTGTCGTTCTCTTGAGGTTATCCCAACAGGTTCTAAGTTGGTCCGTATTTCGGACATTGAAACTGCTCAGGGAATTGAATTCTTCCGTGAGCACCTTCCAACCCTCATTTTTATGAGCAATCGTCACAGCATCTGTTTTTTTGTTTTCTACGACATCTTTATATTTTAGGATAAGTTCTATTAAAATTCCTTTTTCACTGGCGCAGAAATTAGACCGCGACTGTTTTTCGACATATTACAACACAAATTAAGTAAAACTTACTAATTGAAAGAATTATAAACCACCACAGAACAAAATCCAGGTATATATAATGTACTCTGTGAAAATCTACAAGCGCGAAACCGAAAACATATGACGTTTTAGACGACCAACATAGAATTACACTGTCTACAGAACATTTTGTATGGGCACCATGACATTTTGATTTGCCTGCATAATAACGAGAGTGAAGTGCGAGAGAGTGACAAATCAAACTTGTCGTTTTTGTTCACTCGATCATTGATAATGGGTGCGTTTGGCAGAAAAAAGCGCTAGCAAGCGCTTACAAGCGCTGAAATAGTTTTCTGCCAGGACACGATTACTACTTCAGTAGCGCTGACACAATCCGCCATTTTGCTTATTTAATTTGTTTGTTTTGAAGTAGAGTTTATAAGTTGTTTTGTGCAATATTAATTTTAAGTAATATAATAACGTGAATTAACATATACATGTTATTAAAAATTCATGATTAGTAAGTTTTTAATATGAATACTTTACAAACATATATATTTAAATTAGGTTAGGTTCCCCGGTTAAAACTAACATCGTGTCCTGGAGGATAATAGCTACTTACGATTTGACAGCGTTTACCGCTTACGATCGCCATTTTGCTTACAAGCGCTTGCTAGCGCTTTTTTCTGCCAAACGCACCCATAATTCTACTTGATGTTTGATTTAGCAACGCCTTGTTATGATGCCTCTATAGAACGTAAACCTTTTTGACGTCGACGTCAATTTTAACAGAACATTTGTTAATGGCTAATTAAGAATAGTTTGGTGAAATCAGGTCTTAGTCTGTCAACACAGCGAATCGGGTTTGGCAATGCTAATCCTCGTATAAATAAAGTTGACAGCCATTCTTATGTGTATTACAGTATTCTATGGGCGAACTTAACATGTCTTCGAAATATTTATTTTACTTATTTTTCAGACATGCAGGTTTCCTCACGCTGTTTTCCTTGGTAAATCATAACCTGAAATTGCAGTTAACAATTTCATTGGTGGCGGCTGGGATCGCGTTGCTCGCATACTGTGAAATTTACAGCGAGCGCTTAGACCCTGAGCTTCCACGGCTCTTGAAAACATTTTGGTATAAATATCTTGTTAAACTAAACGAGGAAGAATTGATGATAGTGGCGGAACATGTTCCATTGACTTTGCTTAATCAATAGACAATTACACTAGGCTTAATTGTATTTTACAACGTTTTTTCTAACTCGCTTTCGTGTGTCTGTTCGAGTAGAAGTAATTGGTCCTAAAATAACTTCCCAATGAGCTATATATTTAGTATAGTAAGAATATAAAATAAATACTTGAATTAAAAAAAATAATACATCATTTTAAAAAAATTGCTTGTTTGGAAAATAAAATGTGTACAGCAGTTAGAGCCAACATTTGTTAAAAAATATGGAAGTTGACACAAATATACCGGCGAGTGGCTGAATTTTCTTGTGGTAATAATTAATAATAACGTCCTCCAGAGCGAATTTCGGTCACGGCGGCTAGCATCAACGGAGATTAGCCAAGGACACGATCATAGTGTCCAAGTGTATGGTCAAGCACAGATGCACTCCCTATTCCCTCACTCTCATACTTCGATGGAACAGTAAACCGACGCGACCGGAGAGATCAGGCGCAGGAACAACGGCTTTACGTGCTTTCCGTGGCACGGAGGCACACCGTCAACTTCCAGACTCCGGGCAGATACTGAGAATTACTTGACGGAAAAACTCAAGAATTAATTTTTTTGGCCCGTCCGGATTCGAACCCAATACCAGCAGTCGCGTTTACAACCACTAGACTAACGAAGCACTTGTGGTAGTAAGTATATGTATATTACAAGTTATAACGTCGTCACACTTATTTTTAGATTCTGTCGCACAAGTGTCTACAACCTACATTGGTTGTAGATTGTAGTTAACTTCGTCAAAGTTAAAAACTTTTTTACAATATGGAATTTTTTAAGTCATTTATGTGAAATGTTGATTAGAATACTAATATATAGTTGGCAACAAAAAAAAAGTTAAATTGTACAATATTTTCATGTGAAAAATTTTCTTTCGCATTTCAGACAAATGATAATAACATAAACAAGGGATTCAGTTCGGTGTTAGTTTCAGATACATATTTACAACCTACATCCATAATTTTATCACACGATTCGATAGCTAAAGCAGCAAAAAATTCATTACGAAAAATAATTGAGGACGGTGACGCATCTCGCGCGGGGGAGGGGGTAGCGCCGCCATTTTGAGGTTGTTTCGTTTTACAGATTCATGTAAAATATACGTTTGTATTTACGACATAGCCACTTTTCGATTTTTTGAAGTGAAACTTCTTTATCGATGTAGTGGAGTTTATTTATTTAATAGCCTTTATTGTACACCATACAAAACATATAGAAATTATTTATATAAAAGAAGTATGAGATGGGTGGTCTTATTGTCGATAGGAATTTTTTTCAGACAACTAAATGAATGGACAGGATTGTCCATTCATTTAGTCAGCAGGAAGAATGATAGGGGTAGAGCAAGTAGGTGTGATAAAAAAGAGGTAAAAAAGAATATACATACACATACTTATATGCACATAATTTTACACATATTCATAATTTAGTACGGTATTTAAAAGAAGCCATATTTTCTTGCAGCGTTTCGTCGCTATAGCTGTATGGGTATATTATTTTTTTACGTATTTATGTAAGATATAAAATAAATAGAGAAAAAAAGGTGTAATCATTGAAGGTGTTCAATTGAAAAGATAGACGTGTTGCTTAGTTTAAGACTTTAATTATACTGCACTAAGTTATTCTACCCGTGTTGTATGATGTAACACTACATATATATATATATATATATATATATATATATATATGTACTGTCGTGGGGGCTACACTACAAAGTGATATGTTCTGAAGAAGTTTCAATTCGTGTGCACAACTTTTTATATAACTGGTTGGGTCTGGGCGCGGGCCAGGTGCGGCCACTAGTGCGGTTGTGTGCGCGGGGCTGGGTGCGGTGGCACGGCTCGACCACACCTGCCACATGTGTGTACGGGTACCTGATCGGGTCGCGGCGGGGGTACGGGTGCGGGCGCGGGTGCCGGCGCTAGCGTCGCTGCGGGCGCAGGTGTCGTACGGTTGAGGTCCTCGTGCAGCGCATCTAGCAGCCAGGCCAGCAGCTCCTGCGCGTCGTGCTGGCCGCCACCGGCAAGCGCGCGCGCGTGCCGCGACACGCACCAGCGCACGCGCAGCGGCGCCACCGAACGCGCACTGCTCGACCACACCTGCCACACAACCCAAGCTCCTTCATCCGACTGCCACCGTGCTAGAACCACGCTACAGCTATATTATGCTTGTAGCACGGATCGGCTAAACGTAGGACTACACTCTTACAGAGTACTGCTACTGTGTTTCGGAATACCAAACGAGTACACAGTCCATCTGAAGGTAGATGGATGCTGTGGCCCATAGACATCTACTATTACCTATTAAGAATCAAAATGCAGATGCGTTGTTTACCCTGAGGACTAAGATGGAATTTTTTCATCGTCATCACAACACCTCGTCATATGACCACTGCACACATATAACCCCCTACAGAACGCCAAGAGCACGGTTCTAAGCCACCAGCATCTATCGACTTCCTGCCTCTCTTACTAGCTCGTCAATCCATCTTGTGTGAAGCTAAATTCATTATCAAATTACAATTCTTAATTCTAAAATTAAGATCTTTCTATTTTACTTTACATGTATAATCATTAATATCGCTTTCATTAAATAACGAAACAAAACATACTAAATGCAATGACAGCTACTAATTTTTGTTCCTTATTACAGTTATACTTCGTACATATTATCTACCTGATTTGAAAATCCTAAGGAAACTTTCGAGTTAAACTGATTAGAAAACTATTTTTATTCAATAGCGATAAAAATAACAAAATAGCAAGTACACGTATCTATAAACTTAAGTCCTATTACTATAATAATATGAATATGTCCACAAAACATTGCCATTTAAAATTTAAGTTACTCACGCAACAATATCAACTATAAACCCCATCAAAACCTTTAAAATAAAAACATTATATTTTAAAACACAAATAATAAATAATTGTAATATGAATGGGGCATTTTCAAGACCAAAAGGCATCCCATAATATTTAAACTACAGTTCAATTACTTTCATTTTTAAAATATGCTTGCAAAACAACGAAAGGATAGTCAAATTTAATCTCCAATGCCCTATTAAAGCATTAGTCTCAAGGACAAGTGGAAATAAGAAGAGAACAACATGTCAAGTATTATACCTCACATGCGGTTTTTCACTATGGAAGGAAAATATTACGAGCATGTAAAATGTGACGATGAGCTTAACGATATTTGAAGAATAAAGCCCTCTCCCTCTCTTACTGTCTCAATAAATCCAAGTTTCTAAATATCACATTGGATCTATAATAATATACACTTTGCCACGTCGAGTTGTAGGCTGTAGCACGTCAGCAGCCGGTTTCTGATAAAAGTTTGCCAGAAACCGGCTATAGTTAATGGTGTATCAAGATCTAGAGTTTGGATGTCATTAGAAAACACCGAAGCACACGAAGGAACCGAACTTTTCACAAAAACTTAATGGAGATAACGAAAAATAATGTTACGAGTTTGGGGTTCGAGACAGTTAAAACTACCGACTTAATTACCAAACTTGACCACTTTAATTAAAGAACACTAATTAAAAATTTAAACCACACTAATAACAAAACACAATTGTACTCGTACTACTGATTGTTTTAGTTCGCAGTTGTATCGCTTCGAAGTATTCGCTTGTATTGCCAATACAACACTGACTCGGTATACGATCTATACCGGCTTCATATATTTAGAGCCTCAGATAAATCCAGAACCCTATACAGTAGAATCATGTAGAATGTTCGAGCATATACCAGTCCCGACTGACTAGGTGTCGCTAGTTCTAGAAAGTTCTTCCATGGAAATTTATAGAAGTATCTTGACTCTCCTAGCTCTGCTACTCGATACTAGAAGGCGCTAGTGGTTACTAGTGTCACCAGTCATTAATTGTAGCGCGCAACAATAACATTAATTTGAAGCACCTCTCCCAATTTTGCACAAATTCGAATAATAGTACCAATAAAATCATTCGCTGCGAACTAAATAAACAAACCTCTTTACAAAGTTCTCCGTACCGCAACGCGAGTGCTCCTTTAGTGCCAAGGGGATTGGTGGTGTTAACCTCGTACAGATGCATACCAGAGTTGAAGTATCGGGTTAGAGGTCCGGTGTTCCATACCTGTATAAGTATTTAAAGACTAATTTAAGCAACTGTAAATGTCATCAACAAATAAAGAGTAATAATGTATCAAGCAATCTATTGGGTATAAGCAATACGCGTCTTAGATCGCGAGATCTTTAATATTATATTTTTGAAGACGAAGGTAAAAAGGACCTGTTTAACTATTGTACTTGTTGGGATAACAGTTATGTGCAAGTGTCCCTTTGAGATCCCTCTTATTTCTACCGGATCAGGTGTGTGCGTGTGTACGTACGGCCTGCAGCGCGGCGTTCATGAATCAGGTGTTGCCGAGGTTGTGCAGGCCGGTGCGTGCGTACGTGTGTGTGCATGTGTACGTACGGCCTGCAGCGCGGCGTTCATGAAGCAGGTGTTGCCGAGGTTGTGCAGGCCGGTGGCGCCCGCCACGTCCGGCGCCGCCAGCGTCTCGCGCCGCTCCACGCCACGCGCGCTCCGCCCACCGAGCCCGCCCAGCGCGCTCAGGCTGCCCAGCCCGCTCAAACCGCCGCTAGCACTGCACAACGAACCCCTTATCAATATCAACTCGAACCTTACACGGTTTAATTCCTCCCTCCCTTTTACGTCATGCCCGTCGTCTACAAAAAAAAACCACGGGTTGCACTCTGGGAGTGCCGGCAGAATTGAAAACTTGAATATTAACGTTGTGCATTTTGATATTTTGGAATGGTTACGGAATAATTTTGCACGAATTGCTTTAATTATCAGTATAAAAGTACTGTCATTTATGTGGTAGAATACAATATTTATTTATTGCGCTATCGTACAGAAACATGAGAAGTTATATTACATTCGCGCAAGCGCCCTGCGCCGCCTAATCGAAATAGCAGACCGCCGCGCAACAGAAAGAGAGGGGGATACTTCCCCTCCTACGCCGTCCATCTTACGCGTTTTCAATCAGGGTCACGTGTCCTGACGCGAGTTTAACAATTTTTACCCATTACAGAAAAAGTGTCCAACGCCGCTAAAGAAGTTTTCACTTCAGAAATACTCATGAATACTTTATATTTGTGTCATAGGTCGGAGAAAAAGTTTCTTCGTATTTTATATACAAATTCAGGACTTTTTTTTTTCAAAGTTTAATTACATTTAATATAACATGTATGTGCCATTTTGTGCGAAAACTTGTTGCCATCTTGTAGGTAGTGACATAGTCCCGTTGCTGTAGAAATCTTGGGATTTTAGCTCAAAAAAGGCGAGGATAAGCAGTTTTGATATTCCTCTCTTGATATTAACCTAACATTACCTAAAGAATTCTGAAGAGACCGTAACAGGTGAAACTCTGAGGATGCAAGGTTAACACTATATGGTGGATGCATTAAAACTTCCCAACCAAGCTCTCGCAATTTTTGCTGAATGGCCAAAGATGTGTGTGGTTTAGCGTTATCATGATGAAATATCACTCCTTTTTTGTTGATCAATTTCGGCCGTTTTTACTCAATTTCTTGCTTGAGTTGGCAGTAGAGACCTAAATCGATGGTTTTGCCCGGCGATAAAAGCTCCTAATAAACGATCCAATCCTACCATACACACAGCATCACCTTATTGCGTCTTAATTCGGGTTTATCTACATCTGCGAAGCTTGACTACCCCTGGAAATTATACCCTTTTTGAATCCCAAGCAGATGGTAGCTCACAGCCATCTTCTCAATTGAAATAAGGATGTTTTTTAATTGCAGTAGCCTCGCGAATCATCTTTAGTAGGAATAGGTGGTTCTTTTGCGAAGATTTGTCGTCTATCAAATCTGATAAAATGGTTCGGACGATCCTGAACATGTTGACATACTACAGGCTTCCCGTAGCGCCTATTATTCATATCGCCGCTCCGGGAAGGTTCCTAGCTATTGAGCACATTTTTTAATCATCTTAGTGTATTTTTTTACATAGTCTCTAAATATAATACTACGATTATACGATCCTTTATTATAAAGCTCGTACAACCTTCGCCTATTTTTATAAATTCCTACTGTCGCCCATTTGTTAAATGATTTGCGACTGTTTAAAGAGAAAGTTTAATAAGTGAATAATCTATGAAATTGACAACTTATAATTTTAAAAAACGCATCCAAATAAGCAGCACTATTTTTAAATGAAACTGATAGAAGTCTTATTACTATACGAGTATATTATACGACTACTTCTAAACATCTTCAAGAGATGTTCATAAAATTATGTCTTTTTTATTGTGTATGTAATGTAATGGGACCAACTGTGCTTGTATGGATTGATTTATGCAAGTGCTTAATATATATGTAAAAATGTTAGTTATACAGTTCGCACTAGGTCCAGCAATACGTGTTGGTTTGGTTCTATGATTATACGATTTAAACAATGAGCTAAAATTAACACTAATGGAAGAAGTTTCAAGAAGAAGAAGTACAACAGAATTGTTCTGTTTACTAAGTTTGAACAAAACTCTTCCACAATCTTTTCGACGTAAATATCATATCAGCTCCATTAAGGTAAATTCTCATTGCAGTAGGAGAGGGCCATATCCACCCAGCAGTACCACACACCCAGCAGTGGACTTTTAGATACTGATAGATATTCTAAGAATATTTCATTTGTGTTTGTTTATGTATTATAAAATAACTTTTACTTAATAGAATCGCTGCACTTAATAGTTTTTAAAAGAACAAACGTCAACACACAAATAAAATAATATAAATCAATAATATAAATAAAGGAAAATTGTATAGTAAGAGAGGAGACTAGTATCACAAAAATCAACCATGGGAAAGGCCAAAAAGCCTCCGATAGATGGCAGTATATTATTTCGTATAATATGTCATTTGTAAATATCTCGACCGTCGACTTTCCCGTGGAAAGCTACGAAATTTTACTACGTACGATAGATACGAAAATTTTAATACTTTGTTGTTCGTGTTTGTTTTTTAGATGTTTTGTAAACTTGATTTAATATGATCCTATATTATCAATTAGTTGCAAATTCAATATTACTTCCGTACCTGAGTGCGCCGATTTCTTCAGGCCACGTTAAATCAGAATTCCGTAGTTCAAGTAGCAACCTTGATCTGTCGCGTTCATGCATTCCCAGTTCTTGCAGAGTTGGTCTCTCATCATCCAGCAGGAGGGCCGCCCCGCTTGAACTAACTGACCATAGTCGAACGTCCTCTCGAGCCAGCCCTAACGCTTGGCATAAAAACTCTGACACCTGTAATGTTATACATATTAAACTAAGCGTTTATTTGACATGGGGCAGCCGCAACGGTGCAGTGAGCATTTTTGCGTAATGCGTCCATTATGCAAGGGCATGCCCACACAGATTTTAAGTAACATTAGTAGCTCTGACGAAAAAATATAATATTTACATACTTGATGCGATGATTTCATAAAAATTCGGTAAAAGCCTTCAAGAATGGCGCAGTAAACATGCCTTACGACAATGTTCACAGTTGCATTCTGTCGTGTATAGTGTACAGCGCTACCTCACTCACTCACGTACCTGCTTGACGGTGGCGAGGCGCGAGAAGGCGGCGGTGTAGGCGAGCTGGCGCTCGGGTGCTGCCGACACGCTGCTATACAGCGCTGTACAGTGTACAGTGTACAGCGTTACCTCACTCACTCACGTACCTGCTTGACGGTGGCGAGGCGCAAGAAGGCGGCGGTGTAGGCGAGCTGGCGCTCGGGTGCTGCCGACACGCTGCTATACAGCGCTGTACAGTGTACAGTGTACAGCGTTACCTCACTCACTCACGTACCTGCTTGACGGTGGCGAGGCGCAAGAAGGCGGCGGTGTAGGCGAGCTGGCGCTCGGGTGCTGCCGACACGCTGCTATACAGCGCTGTACAGTGTACAGTGTACAGCGTTACCTCACTCACTCACGTACCTGCTTGACGGTGGCGAGGCGCAAGAAGGCGGCGGTGTAGGCGAGCTGGCGCTCGGGTGCTGCCGACACGCTGCTATACAGCGCTGTACAGTGTACAGTGTACAGCGTTACCTCACTCACTCACGTACCTGCTTGACGGTGGCGAGGCGCAAGAAGGCGGCGGTGTAGGCGAGCTGGCGCTCGGGTGCTGCCGACACGCTACTATACAGCGCTGTACAGTGTACAGTGTACAGCGTTACCTCACTCACTCACGTACCTGCTTGACGGTGGCGAGGCGCAAGAAGGCGGCGGTGTAGGCGAGCTGGCGCTCGGGTGCTGCCGACACGCTGCTATACAGCGCTGTACAGTGTACAGTGTACAGCGTTACCTCACTCACTCACGTACCTGCTTGACGGTGGGGAGGCGCAAGAAGGCGGCGGTGTAGGCGAGCTGGCGCTCGGGTGCTGCCGACACGCTGCTATACAGCGCTGTACAGTGTACAGTGTACAGCGTTACCTCACTCACTCACGTACCTGCTTGACGGTGGCGAGGCGCAAGAAGGCGGCGGTGTAGGCGAGCTGGCGCTCGGGTGCTGCCGACACGCTGCTATACAGCGCTGTACAGTGTACAGTGTACAGCGTTACCTCACTCACTCACGTACCTGCTTGACGGTGGCGAGGCGCAAGAAGGCGGCGGTGTAGGCGAGCTGGTGCTCGGGTGCTGCCGACACGCTGCTATACAGCGCTGTACAGTGTACAGTGTACAGCGTTACCTCATTCACTCACGTACCTGCTTGACGGTGGCGAGGTGCAAGAAGGCGGCGGCGTAGGCGAGCTGGCGCTCGGGTGCTGCCGACACGCTGCTATACAGCGCTGTACAGTGTACAGTGTACAGCGTTACCTCACTCACTCACGTACCTGCTTGACGGTGGCGAGGCGCAAGAAGGCGGCGGTGTAGGCGAGCTGGCGCTCGGGTGCTGCCGACACGCTGCTATACAGCGCTGTACAGTGTACAGTGTACAGCGTTACCTCACTCACTCACGTACCTGCTTGACGGTGGCGAGGCGCAAGAAGGCGGCGGTGTAGGCGAGCTGGCGCTCGGGTGCTGCCGACACGCTGCTATACAGCGCTGTACAGTGTACAGTGTACAGCGTTACCTCACTCACTCACGTACCTGCTTGACGGTGGCGAGGCGCAAGAAGGCGGCGGTGTAGGCGAGCTGGTGCTCGGGTGCTGCCGACACGCTGCTATACAGCGCTGTACAGTGTACAGTGTACAGCGTTACTTCACTCACTCACGTACCTGCTTGACGGTGGCGAGGCGCAAGAAGGCGGCGGTGTAGGCGAGCTGGCGCTCGGGTGCTGCCGACACGCTGCTATACAGCGCTGTACAGTGTACAGTGTACAGCGTTACTTCACTCACTCACGTACCTGCTTGACGGTGGCGAGGCGCAAGAAGGCGGCGGTGTAGGCGAGCTGGCGCTCGGGTGCTGCCGACACGCTGCTATACAGCGCTGTACAGTGTACAGTGTACAGCGTTACCTCACTCACTCACGTACCTGCTTGACGGTGGCGAGGCGCAAGAAGGCGGCGGTGTAGGCGAGCTGGTGCTCGGGTGCTGCCGACACGCTGCTATACAGCGCTGTACAGTGTACAGTGTACAGCGTTACCTCACTCACTCACGTACCTGCTTGACGGTGGCGAGGCGCAAGAAGGCGGCGGTGTAGGCGAGCTGGCGCTCGGGTGCTGCCGACACGCTGCTATACAGCGCTGTACAGTGTACAGTGTACAGCGTTACCTCACTCACTCACGTACCTGCTTGACGGTGGGGAGGCGCAAGAAGGCGGCGGTGTAGGCGAGCTGGCGCTCGGGTGCTGCCGACACGCTGCTATACAGCGCTGTACAGTGTACAGTGTACAGCGTTACCTCACTCACTCACGTACCTGCTTGACGGTGGCGAGGCGCAAGAAGGCGGCGGTGTAGGCGAGCTGGCGCTCGGGTGCTGCCGACACGCTGCTATACAGCGCTGTACAGTGTACAGTGTACAGCGTTACCTCACTCACTCACGTACCTGCTTGACGGTGGCGAGGCGCAAGAAGGCGGCGGTGTAGGCGAGCTGGCGCTCGGGTGCTGCCGACACGCTGCTATACAGCGCTGTACAGTGTACAGTGTACAGCGTTACCTCATTCACTCACGTACCTGCTTGACGGTGGCGAGGCGCAAGAAGGCGGCGGCGTAGGCGAGCTGGCGCTCGGGTGCTGCCGACACGCTGCTATACAGCGCTGTACAGTGTACAGTGTACAGCGTTACCTCACTCACTCACGTACCTGCTTGACGGTGGCGAGGCGCAAGAAGGCGGCGGTGTAGGCGAGCTGGCGCTCGGGTGCTGCCGACACGCTGCTATACAGCGCTGTACAGTGTACAGTGTACAGCGTTACCTCACTCACTCACGTACCTGCTTGACGGTGGCGAGGCGCAAGAAGGCGGCGGTGTAGGCGAGCTGGCGCTCGGGTGCTGCCGACACGCTGCTATACAGCGCTGTACAGTGTACAGTGTACAGCGTTACCTCACTCACTCACGTACCTGCTTGACGGTGGCGAGGCGCAAGAAGGCGGCGGTGTAGGCGAGCTGGCGCTCGGGTGCTGCCGACACGCTGCTATACAGCGCTGTACAGTGTACAGTGTACAGCGTTACCTCACTCACTCACGTACCTGCTTGACGGTGGCGAGGCGCAAGAAGGCGGCGGTGTAGGCGAGCTGGCGCTCGGGTGCTGCCGACACGCTGCTATACAGCGCTGTACAGTGTACAGTGTACAGCGTTACTTCACTCACTCACGTACCTGCTTGACGGTGGCGAGGCGCAAGAAGGCGGCGGTGTAGGCGAGCTGGTGCTCGGGTGCTGCCGACACGCTGCTATACAGCGCTGTACAGTGTACAGTGTACAGCGTTACTTCACTCACTCACGTACCTGCTTGACGGTGGCGAGGCGCAAGAAGGCGGCGGTGTAGGCGAGCTGGCGCTCGGGTGCTGCCGACACGCTGCTATACAGCGCTGTACAGTGTACAGTGTACAGCGTTACTTCACTCACTCACGTACCTGCTTGACGGTGGCGAGGCGCAAGAAGGCGGCGGTGTAGGCGAGCTGGCGCTCGGGTGCTGCCGACACGCTGCTATACAGCGCTGTACAGTGTACAGTGTACAGCGTTACCTCACTCACTCACGTACCTGCTTGACGGTGGCGAGGCGCAAGAAGGCGGCGGTGTAGGCGAGCTGGTGCTCGGGTGCTGCCGACACGCTGCTATACAGCGCTGTACAGTGTACAGTGTACAGCGTTACTTCACTCACTCACGTACCTGCTTGACGGTGGCGAGGCGCAAGAAGGCGGCGGTGTAGGCGAGCTGGCGCTCGGGTGCTGCCGACACGCTGCTATACAACGCGCTGTACAGTGTACAGTGTACAGCGTTACTTCACTCACTCACGTACCTGCTTGACGGTGGCGAGGCGCAAGAAGGCGGCGGTGTAGGCGAGCTGGCGCTCGGGTGCTGCCGACACGCTGCTATACAGCGCTGTACAGTGTACAGTGTACAGCGTTACCTCACTCACTCACGTACCTGCTTGACGGTGGCGAGGCGCAAGAAGGCGGCGGTATAGGCGAGTTGGCGCTCGGGTGTAGGCGAGTTGGCGCTCGGGTGTAGGCGAGTTGGCGCTCGGGTGTAGGCGAGTTGGCGCTCGGGTGTAGGCGAGTTGGCGCTCGGGTGTAGGCGAGTTGGCGCTCGGGGTGTAGGCGAGTTGGCGCTCGGGTGTAGGCGAGTTGGCGCTCGGGTGCGGCCGACACGCTGCTATACAGCGCTGTACAGTGTACAGTGTACAGCGTTACCTCACTCACTCACGTACCTGCTTGACGGTGGCGAGGCGCGAGAAGGCGGCGGTGTAGGCGAGCTGGCGCTCGGGTGCGGCCGGCACGCTGCTGTACAGCGCGGCGCCCGGTCCCGCACCCACTGCACTTGCACCCACGCCTACACCTGGGAGTAGAACGCCACCTCTTTTACTATGCAATGCAATGCCCACTACAAGACTGCGATATCAAGCACACCTGTTCCTGAATAAGGAACCAGCCAACCAGCAACGATTCGCATTACGAAGGCGGTTTGAAAAATTCTCGGCCTAATCGAGATTTGAAAGTAGTATGTAAATAAATGTATACTCATTCGATAGCTTGATTCTTTATTTAACCGTATGTCAAGTGCCATTGTGATAGGTTGCATAATTATTTTACTACTAGCGGCATAGAAGCGCTGGATCACAGATTGAATAAGTGTATTAAGACAAGGGAGAATACGTCGAACAAAGAAACCTTTTTTTAATTTTATTTTCTTTGTTTTCTTAGTCGGGCCGAAAAGTTTTCAAACCGCCCTCGTATTTCTAACTTACGACTTCGAGCTTAGTAGACTTGCTGGACATTGGACAACTATGCATGGAAATCGACAGCCAAAATATTTACGAGTAAGTCAACATAAATATGATCAGTTCCAAGTTGCATATCCAAAAATCGATTTTCCAATAGCATTTGCACCAATGTATTTGTAAAGATCGTTGATAAATATGTCATTCTTTACAACTAATCAATAAGGATCATTATCCCCTGTCCTAGTTATATTGTGCGGATAGATAATAAACACAATATTCAAAATTATTACTCCCTATCTATATCACTCATTTTATCAAAGTTATTACTATAGTTACAATAGCTATTATAATAGTTAAGATATTTTGATTATTTGTTTAAAAAGATCGCTGAGTTCGCTCCCTTGCTCTGATGTACAATACATGGCAGAAATAGCTCTTTCCTGTAGTATCATTATGTTCACAACATCAGCTGCCGTAACATTAATCCTAGGACATTACACTATGGAAATAACTATACATAATCAACAAATCTTGTAGTATCTATATAAGTTATAGTTCGGCCGTTCAGAGAATGCGTTCCTGACACTTCGCGATTGAACTGACGACGTAACTTTGTAATGGCGTAGCAGTTACGATAAAAATATTTTTTCTGGGTGTTTACCGTTTTAACAATTGATGAGCATTAAAACCACATTATTATATCAATAATCAATTAATGTTATAATTTTGTGCCAAACTGAGTGTCAAATAACTTGGTAAACAATATTTTTCTAAATCTATACTGCGCTATTACAAGGTTATGTCAGTGCTTTATTATGTAGTGCTGTGCTAACAATAACAGGCAATAACAGTATCGTAATCTGTTCTTATACAGTTATACTTTATAAAATAATACGTTTTGTTTTTCTTTTTAAGAATTTGAAAATAATGGACTATAAAATAACTTTTATTAAATATAAAAATAAAACTGCGACCAAACCGAATCGCGAAAGAAAGTAGCATTTTTATATTTAGGTTGAAAATGTAACCCCAAATGGAGAGGGCCGCCGTCTGTTGTCGTTTCGTGCGCATAGACCACGTTCTTCAAGTGTTTTCGATCTGTTTTTATTTGATTACCCGGCTTTCGTTTAATGGACTGTTTCTGCTTAACAGGATTATAGGATTAATTTTTATTGCATAAACAGGCAAGGCTTTAGTGTGAGATCTCCATTGTAGAAAACTCTAGTGATATCAAAAACTATAGAACCTGTTAATTTTAAACGTGGTGTAGTGCAGCTATAATTTGTCATAAAACTAGTGTAATAATTGACAGCATAAAATTACATCATCGAATGAGTTTTACTTCTATTAAATTTAAACACAAGAGAGGTATCATCAGCAAACAATACTCACATAAGTATTTATCAAAAAAAGGAAGATCATTTTAAAAAACAACAATGGTTCCAATATTGTTCCTTGGGGTACCCATAATTAAGGGAACTCCATAAAACTCAGTTCCATTTATAACTGTTTTTGCAACAAGTCGAATAAGTATGATTTTATAAAGATTGCCGACTTTATTGAAACACCAAAACACCTTAAAGTCATTAAAAGTAAATCATGGTTTAAGCAGTCAAATGGTCACAATATACCTTCGTCGCCCTCTTTACCCTCTCAAGTTACAGATAATAAGTGGTTGGGAAGTGAAATGCCAGCGTTAGTAGTACTTTTCCCTTTAGAGAATCCGTACTGACTGACTTAAAACCGAGGCTTAAACCTAAAACTGCTTTCTTTTTTTGTTAAATTACCAAACGATTTCATGTTTTGTTTTATTTAAACCTACCAGTTATATCACAAAGAGACAAAACATAATATACAACTAAATTATACCTCATTGTTTGTTATAAAAAATTAAACTGTATTTTAAAGAAAACTGACAAAATTCTATTTTTTTATAAATATACTACTCAAAACAAAATAGGGCCCACCATGTTTTATAAATGAATTTTACAGATTCTTTTTCTTTTTTCAGTTTTTATGATTAGGAATTAATAAATTAAGGTTTTTGAAAGTGTGTGAACAACAAGAGTAAGTTTTGCCAATTTTATGGAATTTAGTCAAAATTTACAGTTTTTAGGAAAGTGTACAGAAATTATTGATTTAAGTAAAGTTTGATTTTGATTTTTATAGAGATAGTTCGATGGTGCTTAATAGCGAGTAGGTCCTCCTCTGTTCCGTATGCACTCCCTTAATCCATCTGGGACACTTTCAATCAAATGGGTGATGTTTTCCTCGGGTATTCGCTCCCAACACAATTTTAGGGCGTTTATGAGCTCTTGTCGATTAGTCACTTTACTGAAGTTCGATTTGAGGCTTCTTTTCAATTGGTCCCATAAATGTTCAATGGGGTTTAAGATCGGGACACATGGCCGGCCACGGTAAAACCGTAATATTGGCTTCAGAGAAAGCTCTCTGGGTTGTTCGCGCTGTATGTGGGCGAGCATTGTCTTGCATAAAGACATAGTTTTCACCCACTATTTGTAAAAATGGGATGGCATGGGGCCGAATTACTCGATCGTCATACCGGGAGGCAGTTATGGAGCCTTCTTCCAGAATTACCAGCTCAGTTTTACCGAGCAAGCTTATTCCAGCCCACACCATAACATTTGGACCTCCAAAACGATCCGTTTCATGTATGCAAGGTTCTGAAAAACGTTCTCCTTCTCTTCTCCACACGCGCACTCGACGATCATCGCTGAAAAACTTCACTTTACTTTCATCCGTAAAGAGTACATTTCTCCAGTTGTCCATTGTCCATTCCGCATGCTCGCGAGCAAACCTTAAACGTGCTGCACGATGCGCTCTTGTCAATTTTAGACGAATAACACGAGATCTGGAACGTTGTCCGTCTTCATGGAGCCGATTTCGAATGGTTTGATCACTAATTAGTGTGCCAGTCGATTGCCGCAGTCGATTTTGTAAGACGCGGGCGGGAGTCGTACGCTCTCGACGTGCAGTCAAGCTGATACACCGGTCTTCCTGGACGGTTGTAGCTCGCGCTCTTCCTGATCTAGATCTCCTCGCGACACTACCTGTCTCTAGAAAGCGTTCCCACGCGTTTTGAATAGCTCGTCGCGACACACCAAGACGTCTTGCCTCTGATCTCTGAGATTCTCCCTCCTGAAGCATAAACGCTACTCTTGTTGTTGTTTCCACATCCATATGACGCCGAAAACCAGGCATAATGATCGCGAGTAACACCGAAATAAAGTCAAAATGAAAAAAGTAGACGTGCGACTTTAACATTCAGAATGTGACTGAGGGTACAAGTGACTGAGAATTTGAGTAATAAACGTTTTTTGGAGTACTTCACTTTTTTGTCTACTAACCATTGAATTCCTGACTTGAAACGTTGAAAACGTTAGATAAACATGTCAACAATACTTCGAAATGTTTAACTTCACTATTCTACTACCCAACAATTTTTTTAAGACGAAATTCGAGACTAACTTAGAGTGGGCCCTATTTTGTTTTGAGTAGTTTATTATAATTTCCGTCTTCTACTACCTCTGTTTATTAGAACCCTATTCTTATTCTGTAATATCTTTTTTTTTCATGTCTTTTTTTTTCATGTCTTTTTTTTTTTTTTAAAAATTGCCTATATTTACCACATTAGCTAACGGGTTGAAGAACTGTTTGTGCGATAGTTTGGCGAGAAACTTACGTTGAGTGCTCAAAACATGACGCAGAATCTTCAGTTGTAACGGGTATAGTTCAATTTCCACATCCGAATTCGGTGGTCTGATCACCTGAAATATAGACATTGATTTATTATAAGTTATAAGTATATTACGGAATTTAAGTATTTATTCTGGTAGGGAAAGTAGCGGAGGGTGTACAAGGTACGTAGTTGTTGCGTAGCTGATGATGCAATATCTGAGTTAGTGGATAGTACCTAGTTATTAAGCACCAAGCAAGTGTCAAAGAAGACGCTTGAAATACATTTGGGGAGATCAGATATGAAAGCAGTCGAATATACAACTGGGGAGTCAGTCAGAGAAACACTAAAAGGAAGAATGAAGGATGCAGTGTGTGTGGCAGCAACTCTTGTCGTAGCAATGGATCCAAGTCGCCGTACAAGTGCGTGGGTGACAAGCGTGAGTGTTTGGGTATTAAGAAGAAGTCAGTGATTGGGTATTTGTGTAAAGAAATTCTCACTAACAGCTCGGATTAAGGATTTGACAGCGTTTAATTCACCCCCGTGGCTCAGAAAGCACGATAAGCCGTTAATTCTACGCCTGACCTCTCTCTTGTTAGGTTTGGTTTGGAGGATATTGTTATTATTAATGTTAAGGTGGTGCGGGAGTATTTGTGTATGCGAGCAGTAGTGCGGCACCTGGCGCGGCAGCGGGTCCGGGCCGCCGTACCAGAGCGCGAGCGCGCGCCACAGCGCGTCGGGCAGCAGCTCGAAGTCGCGGTGCTGCGCCAGCGTCACGTCGCGCCGCAGCAGCCCGCCCTCGCCCGTCAGCGTGCGCACCTGCCGCACGCACACGCACACACTTTACAGGATTATTTCTTACCCATTTTTTCATAGAATAAGGTGACAAATGTATGCAGTTTTTACCATATGGTAAGTGAATGCTGTGACTTATAGACATCTACATTTAAAATCAACATTTAAAAGTCACCCCTCAGGACTAAAATGGGTATAATAGTTCCAGTAAAAAGGAACTCCGGTTGTCTACACTCCCCATACGAAACGTAGCAGCATTAGACTGTTATGTCACGCTGGTATTCTATGAGAGCGTGGCCGATCCATTCGTGCTACAACTATACCAGTAATATTGCTGCAGCGTGATTCTAACACAATTACGTCATGCTACGTGTTCATATACCACAATTTCCAATCGATACACTTGCATCGATACACGTTGCCGTGTATCGATGCAAGTGTATCGCGGATATAATCAGGTCAAGAGATACTTATAAAATACTTTTAAAATCTTTGACAGAATACGATCTCCTTTATCAACAATTTTATAATAGTTTTCTGCATACGCGTGTTATTTTATGACACAGCTAAAGCTTTTGATAATGTAGAAAACAACGTACTACTACCAGTGGCGAAGCTAGGGTTCCAAACTAGGGCAAGCCCAAGATATGGTTTTGTTGCTTTTAGCAGTTTAATAAAAATACACCAATCTTGAGCTGTCTCCACTCTTTAGTTTCATATTCAGTGCTGACAAGGACGTGTTTAACAAAGCACACAGAAAGCATACTACCGCTAGATAGATTGTATGACATAATATGCAATTGCACACCTTCGGTGGTTTTGAAAAGAGCCGTTTGGGTTTGCTTGAGATATTTACAAACAATACAATACATGAACAAAAGAAAAGCATGAACAAAGTACAAACAAACTATGTACAAAGTTAAAAAAGAGACGCCTGGCAGATGTGAAACCTCGAAATTATATTTTGTTTAAGTTATATGCATAAGAGAACAGATTACGACAGGAATTAAGATAGTTATAATGAGAAGATAAAGCTTTGCTAATTTTTTACCATAAAATAATGACTATTTATTATAATTTTAATTATTCATTTTCAATTCATAATAAACCGTACAAAATGATATTTTATTAAACTCATATATCACTATAAATTTGCCGATAGCGTATATGTGCCATCTAGCGTAATCTTTAGGTACCATCGTGAGAATCAACCAATTTTCGTTTGATAAAATGACTTTACCTATAGAATTAAGTAGATGGAGCCATTAAAATGTTATATAAATGTATAATGAAAGTAGACAGAGAAACCTAACTGGAAATAACTAGGGATTACTATTATTTAAAAACCTCAATACATTCTTCTGTATTCTTTTGATTTATTTAATAAAAATTTGGGCTTCACGTTAAAAAAAGATTGTAACACTTATTTCCTCTAAAATTAAACCTAGGTCTCATACTTATGTTACTTTATGTTTATAACTGTTCAAATTGATATTTTTAATTCGTATGGTAATATAAATATTGAGTTATTAAACCTTTAAATACGCCTAACTTAATTAAACTTTAATACCTGTACCTATATTTAAAGTATGAAGAAATGTTTATTGAATATTAAATTTCATTTTTAAAGATCTTTACCTATTCCTCGCCGATTAGCACTGCAACACACTTATATTCATCACAATGAACGAACACTATTATCCTCCCATTTTCACTGAAAATCTTGGAAAAAGCATAATTTTTTAACAAACACAACACAAACAAACATAAACATTGAAATGTGAAGTGAACTTGCATACGAGGCGCCCGCAACCACTTCGCTAGTCGCTATCATACTCCTAAACAACTTCATGGCAAAGCCAGGCTTGTGGCTCAATAGTAATTGCTATATAAACATTTCGTAGTTATATTTCATTATAGAATATTTTGCCATAGGTTAGAAATAGAGCGATCGTCTTCTCGAAAGCCCCGTAAAAGCCCACGCGAGAGAGGGAGACAACTAATCGCTCTATTAAAACTCACTTTTTATGACAGCAGCACTATCGCCACAGAGTGCCTTTGTATAAACGTATCGCTAAGGCAATACGAGGTCATCGGTCGACATGTGTCGAACAGTGGAGTGCGCGGGAAAATTGAAAAAATTTGAAACAGTTTATGAGTTATTTTATTAGTTGATATTATTGATTGATTCAGTTTCAATAAGGCAAGCCCATCTTTTCGGCTTTTATGGAAGCTTCGCAACTGACTACTACCATTACTTGACTAATTAATATCAGGTCTTTACCCATGAAATTGTTGCTGTTATTTATTTATTTATTTATCCTTTTTTGTACACCACAATACAGAAACATCAATATAGTTAAAACTAATTAAAGTATGTACAATAGACGGTCTTACAATAGGTGCTGTTACTGATAGACATAAAATTTTATTAATAGAAATAAAAAAATTGTTTTTATATCAATCAGTAATCACCCACGCAATTCACGCATCTCTATCAACGTAGTGGCAGTTTATTGACCTTTTTGAAGAAATCAGCTGGACGGGTGACAAAAAATTCTTCAAAACCATTTTGTACTGCCTCTCGGGTATTGAACTTTTTGCTCAAAAGTAAACCAAATTTAGGAAAAAACAGAAGTCGCAAGTCGAAGTAGGCGCAAGGTCTGGTAACGGACGGATGACGGAGAGCTTCCGACCCCAGCTCTTGTAACTTGGAGACCGTCCGTTGTGCAGTATGAGGTCTCGTTGTCAGCAGGAGCGGCGGGGACGAGCGATTGACCAAAACTGATTGGAGACGTGCGAGCTTCTCCATCATTGTGTTCAGTTCTTCACAGTAAACATCTGCAGTAATGCTCATCCTGTTTGGTAAGAAGCTGTGAGGAACTGGCGCTAGACCACCAAACTGTGACAATCATTTTTCCAGGAGTAAGTTGTCGTTAAAGGCATTGTTTAGGTGCTGAACCATGATCTAAACAATTTGCTGAGTGCTTTCATTTGTCAAACAGAATCCATTTTTCATTGAAGGTAATAATGCGGTTAAAAATTTCTTCGTTTGTGTGCCAGTTGAGCAGTGCAATGCACGTCTCGTTCGGTCAGATGGTCATTGAGTCCGTGGGGCACCCATTTGTCAAGCTTTACGAGGGGCACACTGAAATGATCGGGAATAAGAAAAACCACATGCACGGTATAGCTAAATTGTATTTTATTGTTTTTCGAAGTATTCTTAGTTCAATTTAATGCATTTTTCCATTCGTGCAAACCAATCATTAAAACATTAATTCCAGTCTGAAGTTGATGTTGACAAAATGGCTGATTTGTACGCTTCCACAGCTGCTTCGGGGTCTTCAAACCGTTGACCGCGTAATAAATCTTTCATTATAGGGAATGTAAATAAATCGTTTGGGCTCAGGTAAGGACTGTACGGAGGATGACTCATCAGCTCAACATTTTCCTGCTTCAAAAAATCATTTGTATTCCCAGCCGTATGGGAGCTCGCATTATTGTGATGTAAGATGATGTGACGTTTCGGGTTATTTTTTCTGAGTTACGCTATCATTTCTGGCTAACAAACCGTGATATACCACTCAGCGGTAACCGTTCTGCGTTCCTGTAAAGGAATTGTAGCAACATGTCCCTTTTTCGAGACAAACGTTGCGAGCATTCTCTTTGACACGCTGCGGGAGCGAACCACTTTCGTTGGTTTAACCTCGCCTTCGAAGACCCAAACTGCTGACTGATGTTTCCTTTCAGGTTCGTATGAATACATTCGTATGAATCGTATGACCACGGGGTTCATTTTTAAAGTCGTAATTTCCAGAACGGAAGCGGGCAAACCAATAACAGGTGGTGCGTTCGTTTGTAGTATTCGCTTCGTAAACGCCGTTGATGTAACGTGCTACTAGGGCCGCGTTGCTGCCAATACTGTACTCATAATCCATTATTACACGAATTTTGAAATCGTATCCATGATGACGAAAAAGATTCAAATGCGATGAAAACGTAACGCTAATCAATAAACAAATAACTAATTATGAAAAAAGAATTCCATGTTTTTAAAATAAATTTATCTGAAATTAAAATTCTTAGCCAAACAAAAATTTTGATTTGAAATGGCCGGTAGTGCAGAACGGCAATTTCTTAGGTAAAGACCTATTATGAACACAAAGGATTAAAAATGTAAGCAATAGCTGGACCAAATTCAGCTACAGAACTATATATGCTAGCCTGTGAATTATGACTGCAGCTGTAATGGGTCGGCTTGACCGGAGAAAGAACACATTCTCACAGAATACCAGCGAGAAATATCAATATAATGCTGTTATGTTTTATATGGCGAGTGGAGAGCAATGGAGATCCTTTTCACTGGAAACGAGGCATTCCATCTTAGTCCGCAGGCGTGATAACGCTTTTGATTCTCAAGCGATGATAGATGTATATATGTGTCTATTACACCACACCATCCACTTACCACCAGTTGAAGAGTGTACTTGTTTGTCACCCTTGCTTCAATAAAGAAATAAAGAACAGATAACAAGCAAGTTAGTTACGTCCAAATTTTAATATTCATTGGGGGTGTCAAAGGGTAGTTTTTGGGACCGCTGCTTTTTCCGCATTTTATTAATTCGCTTTCGTTACTAAACTACATAACTTCCCATTAAGGGTACACTAGTCACTTGTTCTTCCATACAAACGTAGTCTGGCGATTACTCCACTGTTTGATGGTGTACGTATAAAATAAAAAATGATTTCAATTTGTCTCATCATTATCTAGCCCTGTATGGAAACAAAAAAGTAAAAAAAGATTATGTTTAAAAGTTATAAGCGTCGAAAATTCCGAATTTCAACACTATTTTTAACACATCTTTGGGCGGAAATAAATACCATAAGAAGAACGAAAATTGCAAAACAGTTACCATACAGGGATAAATTAGTTGTTCAAAAATGCAAATAATTTTATTTTGAACAGATACATTCAATAGATTTTTCATGACATCAAGACTCCCAAAGGTCTGTTTATAAAATTTCGCGCGCTTCTTTTTTGTTGTAAATCATCTTGCCTTTCGCTACAAATTGTTTCCCCGATCAGTGGGACGGATGGAGGGGGGGGGGGCAGCGCGCAAGCAAACTCAGAGAGGTCAGTCCAGGAATTACATTGGTCATGTCATACGAGAACCAGGCAGGTGGCTAATGGTCCTTTGAAGAAAGAACCATACAGATGTGAGTGGACAACTAAGTACTTTTTAGGATTCCGTACCCGAAGGGTAACCAGCAGGGCCCTATTATGAAGCCTCCGCTGTTCGTGTGTCTGTCTGTCAGCGGGCTGTATCTCATGATCCGTAATAAGGGTTGTAATTTTCACAGAACGTGTATTTCTGTTGCCGCTATAACACCAAATAGTAAAAATAAATTTGAAATTAAATGGTTTCCTACTAGAAAAATAAATGTGTATTTTTGGCTTTTTTTTTTTGATCGATAGTAATATGCATATTAAATCTTGTAAGATGGTACGGAAGCTCGGAAGTCGGATTCGCACTTGGCAAATATTTGTTTATATTTAACCTTACCTCAGACATACTCATATTTTTTATATATAATTTAAATAAAATAGTAGTAGCTTTGCTATGGTATTATAGTATATATTTTGATTTAGATTTAATTTATTAAAAAAAAATAAAGCCCTCCCTCAAATTTGTTTATAAAAAATTTTTTTTTTTTTTTTATTTAAACCGCTTCCCCAAACTTTACTTCTCTTTTTCCTTTTTTTTTTTTATTGCGCCCCCTCGTCTTTTTGTTTCCTTTTTTTTCAGTTTTCTTTTTTTTTTGTTTTTTATATTTTTTATTTTTGTCCGTCGTTTTTTCCTCTGTAGGAAGTTTTTGTTATCCTTTCCGTTTAGGTACGTTACTATTTTGATAGATGTTTGTGCTTGTCCCTGCAGTGACACAATGCCTATTGTTGATAACTTTCTAAGTAGTAAGAGAATATTGCAAACCGTCATTGAACACAAACAATCAATAAACAATTTACAAACAAACATTTTTATTTATTTAATTAACCTACATAAAAGCCTCACTCACATCAGTCGCGCTGTCAAAAAAGCAGTTATCCTGACACTGGCTGGCATATACTTCGGGGAGTTGCCTGTGGGCTATTATAGCTAACTAGCGATGGGAAGTAAATACCTATTTAGAATACATAGTACCTACAGTAATGTTTGTATAAATAACCTACAATAAGATACAAAAAGATAAAAAAACATAATTATTTTACACTTTTTTCTGTTTTAGAAGTCGGTTATATTTTTTTCAATTTTTTTAATGTTACTATTTTTAGTTGAGAGTTATGTCCCTTTAGTGGGTACAGGCGTGATATTATACTGTGTGGTTGCGTAAAGAATGCATAGATACGCGATAGCAGCAATCGCGGTTGATTTGCTGTCATTTATTGAAGAGTTCCCTCGATCTCTCCAAGATCCCATCATCAGATCCTGATCTGACCATCATCGATTACCATGGAATCATCTGGAAAGTATATTCCTTCAAACCAAAAAATAGTTTTCCAAATCGGTTCAGGCATCTTCGAGAAATCGGGGAACAGAACATACATAACCAAAAAACAACGAATTGAGAACCACCTCCTTTTTTCGAAGTCGGTTAAAAAGTAGATAAAACAAATCAATGAAATTATTATTTAATAACAACATCTACTTAAATTCACATAAGAACTTTCATAATAACAACTAAATTGGGTTCATAATAATAACACCAATTTGTTTTCTCTCTCCTTTCTCTTTTTAAAATACGTTACCCCACAGTAGGATTTTCTCCTGTATCGTGGAGGCAGTGTACAAATATAAATTGCACAAGAACAAACATTCAGACCCGGAACAACTATTTGTAGGCCATACAAATATTTGTTCCGTACGGGATTCGAACCCGCGGCCCCCAGCGCAGCCTCATTGCTAAGCCACTGCGATATGGAGCTCACTATTGCCGTTTGAGTTTATGTTTTAACTATTACTACTAATTTTTAGTCCGTTTTAAAAATGCGGTTACATTAATTTACGAAACTAATATATTTATCGTCATGTTAACGTGATGATAAATGTATAATTTAAATCGCTAGTAATAAATTATATTAAAATAAATGTTGAAGAAAAATTCCACATATTTTGAAAGAGCAAATTAAAAATTGATTAAATTTAAACATTTAATTTTAACTTTATATGAACAATGCAACTGTAACATATTGTATGATACAATGTACATAGGTGTAGATGTTTACGTGAGAGTACCTTGAGGTGGTCCGGTGCCAGCAGGCGGCGGTTATCGACGGGGCCGGGGTGCGAGGCGCGGGCCACGGGCGCGCTGCCGATGCCACTGCTGCTGCCCGCACTGCCACCGCTGCCACTACTGCCACCGCTACCCAGCGACGCGCTCTCTGCACGCCACAGCAGCGACCCCATTGACTCTGACACACAAACATACCCTAGCACTACACCGCTCTGCTACTAACGCTTATTGTTCGCTGAAGATTTGACTGAACTTGAAACACAAACTTTTTAATATCGTGTGATTTCGCATTCTTGTTAAAAATTAGATGTATTTAGAAATTCTAAAGAAAAGTAGAGCACAAATAAATACATACATAATTAATAAAGAAATTTATCAACACATATTTGTTGTCGGAATTTATGAAATAAATGGAATTGTTTGTGTAATTCGTTTGACCATTAATTAAAGTTTGTACACATAGAAATAAATACTTTATGAAGTTATTTCTGTTTATTTACGATCAAAAATATTAAAAATATATGCAGCAGTACATTAAATGATCCTTTGAGTCAGATAAACTGCTTGGACTCAACTATCCCAACCGTTACTGACGATATAAATTAAAAAAAGATTATTCTTTGTTTAACACAGATTATAAAGAATACTTAATGAGTCAATTTCTGAACTCTTAAATATACAGTGAACTGACCGGTAGAGTTGGTGGTGAAGCTGTCGTCGTCGGGTGGGTAGGGCGGGTAGGGCGGGCAGGGTGTGCTGGGCGGGCGGGGCGGCGCGCGGCAGCAGGCGGCGGGCGCGGCGCAGTGCGCGAGCCACGCCGCCCACCACTCGCTGCCCACCAGGTACCAGAACTGCCCCACCGCGTACCCGCGCGCCGTCTCGCGCTGCATCCACCGGATCACTGCCGGAAATTACACGGTTCCACTTACTACAGATCTGCACACATTCTCGCTAAACTAGTTTGCCTTTTTGAATATAATTTCCTGTATGTACTGGAATATATTTCAATAAATTATGAAATAAGTGAAAAGGATAAATTATAAAAAAAGAGTAACGAGCTTGTGATTCCCTAACGTCTTGCAACACCAAATTGCTGGTGTGCTAATTTGAAACTTTATATAACCCTTACAGCACGACAAAAAATATTATAATTAATAATGAAACCATGCCATGCAGTTTTACATTTACATTTATGGTCTTAGGGTTCCTAAAAAAATAGTAAAAAAAATCGTATTCCTCCAGGACCCTCTAAATCACCGTCGCACGAACGTGCGCTGTCGTGCTCAATTGTGCCAACGCAACTTTGTGCGTTCGAAGGAAATTAAATGAAAAACCATGCTTTTACTATATCATTTGTAATGTAATCAGTCTTTTTAAGGACATTTATAATTAGGAACCTTTATTCTTAATTAAGAACTATAATTATTTGGTTCTCAACCCGTATTTAAGTACTTAATATTACTTGGAAGCAACAAAATTATTTTATCAACTAGTCAGTCAAAGTATTCTTAGGTAAAAAGAAGTTTTCAAAATAAAATTAAAATTCTCAAACAAAAACATTATCAATTCTCAAAAAAAAAAAAGAAATCTAAAATTAACCACTAATTGTAAGTACCAAGTTTCCTTGGACGGCATTAAAAGTTACTTAGAGTGATACTCCAAAAAGCAATTTTGCTTTCGTAGTATACACAAGTATACATCACACTTTATGCATCGTACTTTTGTAGTAGAAGTGCAACTCTCCATCCTGCATTTTCTGCCTCTTTTAAGGTCATCTAAGACTGGCATGTGATCAAAATTGTCAAATCGTTGGTCAAACGCAGGAGCAACAGATGGCCTGTATCTTTTAGACGGTTTTTCCTCTGGTTCTATCTGCACTCTGGAGGTAGTTGGTTCATTGTTATTTTCAAACTATCGAGACTGATAAATAGGTATACTGTTGATGAGTGCGTCTGCAAGATCTACCCTAAACCAAAGTAAATCTTTGCCTTTGGTTTTGTTAGAAGCGCAGTCTCTGTGGTACTTTCGCCAAGCATTTACAACTGCTAGATCTAAAAAGTGCACCATTACCTTAACTGTCCACTTTCTGGTCTTTTGGTATAACCTATAGTATTCTAAGAGTTGGTCTAGGACGTCAACTCCCCCCATATTTTTATTGTAATTCAAAACAATACGTGGGGCACTGACGTCGACATATTGTTTGTTTTTCTTACACCATCTCGGAATATAACTTGTATTGTTTCCACCTGTGCAGTTCGATGCCATCAGAACACCCTTGTTGTCTTTCCACTTAACAAGTGCAACATCCTTGGAAGTATATTGCACCACATCACCACGCAGTAAAACTTTGTCACTCTTGAGTTTTTTGTGATCTGGTATTCGGTTCAGCATGATAGTGCCTGTACCATGTAGTTTAATATCCTTAAGTCGGTCTAACAGAGGTATTGTATTAAAATACCGATCAAAGTAAAGGCAACTATTTGGTGGAACATTTTTGGCTAGACCTAGAATTACTGCTGGCCCCTCGTCTAAGGATCTATCTTCAAAAGCAGGATTATTTGGGTAGTATATTTTGAAATCCAGCATGAGACCATCGCTGGTAGTAAGAACATAATTTTTAAGTTCTAGCGGTCCGGTCTAGGCTTATTTTGACAAGTATCTTGAGATGGCATTTTCCTGCAAACGGTATAATCTGTTCGTCGATGGAATAGAATCCTGAAACACGTTCAAACTTCATGCAGGTATTTTTAACAGCGTTAATCACTGGTAGTACTATCTAAAGAGGGTTTGTGTTTCCCTCTGGAGCATCCTCCGTATCCACGACATGCATATTGTTACGCAGCAAAAAAAAATCGTTCTCTTGGCATTTTTTCGGCAATGATGTCCAGTCTCATACCCGATCGCCAATACATGTGTATACGTGGAAACGGTATACAACCCATAATCAGAAAAATGCCAAACAATTTGCGCATTTCCTGCTTATTTGTATTCAAAACTATTCCTTTTTTGCGCAAAGCGTAAATATTGGTGCAGGAGGCCATATTTTAAGAGGAAAAAAATTGCGTTAAAATACTCTTCAAAATATTGTAGTGGGGTTCTAATATCTTGAGCTGGAAGGCTAGTACTGTACTCATGAGTTTTGTCATTAAATTCAGTTCTTCTCCACAGTCTTGGCCGTTGTTTCTGGCCGTATTAGAACTACGTGTAGGCGGGATATTCTCGCGATTATTTCGTGCAATTTGAGCCATAGGTACATCAATTTCTTAATCAGACTCATTTTCAGCATTTGGTAATTCCTGATCAGGTATATCTTCATCCAATAATCGACGAACTTTAATTCTGAGCTCGGCTTCCTCGTCTGATATATCTAAGTCTGACTGGGACCCATCGCCCAAAAGCTTAAAGACCAACTCGGAATCTAGAGGCCGTACTGCAAAGAAAAAAGGTATCAAAAATTACAAGGTGACTTTGGACTAAAAGGAGTAGTTGAGCATGACAACGCACGTTCGTGTGTTAAGATTTTAACGACGGGTTTTGCTTCGAATTTCAGTAAATTTGCACGATATTCTTTTATGAAACTGTATCTAAGCTTTCCATCTTAACAATTAAGAATCAATTAACGTAAATATAGCAAAATAAATACAAAAACAAAACACTTACTGCGGCCGCGATCATCATTCATCATTCATCATTACAGCCCTTCACAAGTCCACTGCTGAACATAGGCCGCGATCGTCCACGAAAAAAACATCCACTCGCACAAGTCACCACGGGTCACTGTCATGAAGTTGCCGCAAGTTTTAATTTTTGGCGGCTTGCTAGGTTAACGCACAAATGATCGAGACGGTTTTGGAGCGGTAAAATGAAATATTCAAACTCCAGGAATTTATTTTTTATGAACGCACGATTGGTTAATACAGTGCTGTAAGGGATAATATATTAAGACATTCGACCGACAGAAACAAATTTCTTTTGCGCACTCGGTGCGTATTCTCGAGACATGTTGGCACAAACAATGTATAAAGTAAAGAATTACAAATACAACATTATTCAGTAACAATTTTTATAACTGTTTTATGCAAATATATGAATTTGTTTGATTTGAACACCTGCATACCGATAAATGTTATTATTTTACAACATATCGATGATATGCAAAAGAAATAGAGTAGGCTAGAACATGTAACCTTGTCGAACACCAGCATTCAGAGGTTTGGAGTCCGAACACGCAACATCGACTAATAACAAAGTAATAACGAAGTTTATCCCTCTCACATAGATTGCCTTATAGGCAAAAATTTGCAATAATTGCCACGCTCGGCGTGCGGGTGCTTCTGCTGCCACTGCTTCCCATTTTCCTGTTTCAGTTTGCTTCATTAACCCATTACCCCATATCATCATATCGGTGCAAGTGATTAATCTTCAATAGCGCCTTGGCAAGATACCGAAATACTATGGTAAGGAAAAACTTATTCTAACAATGCGCTATATAATTTATAAGGACAATAACTGTTTTCAAAATAACAGAAAAAAACGAAAAGAGATGTACTACTTTTTCAGTGTGCTACATGCACCTATCTCAGATCGCGGCCTTAGTTTTAGTCAAGTGACCAAAACTAAGGCCGCAAATTGCCCTCAATGTTAATCTCATAATTTCAGTCTATAAAATTATGAGTTCTATTGCCTGAAATACTACTTCGGTGACTTTATAAACGGTGTTGCGGAAGTGCAACAATGCTTAGTATCTAACGACCGCACAATATCGCAATTTTGCAGCCGCAAACGACGGCTGACAGCAAGGTACGCCCGCCATGAGCGACTTTCGAATCTAAACATGAAACGGACCTACCGTTTAAAACTGCTGAAACGTAGAGAACCACCCTCTCTCATATGCAATACGACAGACCACGTAAAAATTTTATCAAGGAAAAGGTTTTTGTATGAGATACTGGCCAGTTTATCTTGAAAATACGATTATTTACAGTACAGTATTTAGTAACAATAAGAAAGTTCCAATTACAAATCTCCCTCCACACGATATATATATCTAGTATAAATTTAGAGCTAAAAAATAAGCTATGGAGAGGACTATGCTGAGAGTTTCTCTGCGTGATAAACTTAGAAACGAGGATATCTGCAGTAGAACCAGAGTGACCTACATAGACGAACGGATTAATAAACAAAGTGGCAATGGGCAGGTATAGTTCGAAGAACCGACAACCGATGGGGGGAAAAGGTTTTCAATTGGCAACCTTGTACCGGTAAGCAAAGTGTAGAGCGACTCCCCCCCCCCCACTAGATGAAGTGACGACCTGGTAAGACGTGCAGGAAGGCGATGGATGCAGGTGGCTCAGGACCGTGCTTTGTGGCATTCCTTGGGGGACACCTATGTTCAGCAGTGGACTTGTAAAGTTATATTGAAAGTGGATTTGTGAAATATTTTATTGAAAGTGGATTTGTTCAGATGCATGAATATTTTGTATAGATGCTGGTGAAATTCTTTGAAAAGATTTATTAAAAACTTAAACGATATTTCGCAAAACTTTACGAGTCCAGTTAAAAGTATGATTCGACCCGTGGCACACATGAGTGTTCCAATTATTACCCTGAGTAGGTTAGATAAAAGGCTAAGTAAGTAAAAGAGGATCTCTAGTTACCTACACTAACCAATTTCTTTATATAAAATTTCATCAGTCTTAGTACGTAATAAGCAGTCACAATATTGTGCATGACTTTCTCTTCATTAAATACCGATAAAATAATAAAAATAACGAAGCTCAATTTCAAGGAGAAACAAATAAATAGAACCGATAAAAAACGACCGTGACGTTTACGGATATATATTTTTTCTAATTAATGAACCGATTAATTGCCAAACCAAAATGAATTTTCTTCGGGAAG